CTTTGAAACGTTACATCCAAGCAAAGTGGCAGCTGCAGTGGAACAATGTAACGGGCAACAAACTACATGCAGTCAAACCTTTTCTGAGCGAGTGGGAGAAGCGCTCATCGAGAGTGCTTCTGTGAGTTCATACTTTGTAGGTTACGAATTGGTCCTACCCGTCTCACACATATGGTCACCTCTTGAGCGGGGAGGATGCCCCTGACTGTGGACACTGTAACTTTCCTCAGACACATACTCATTGAATGCCCATGTATGATCCATGCCGTTACAAATACTTCTCACTGCTTTTTAAAGAACATGTTCCACTACACCTGTGTTTTTATCTTCCTCACAGATATCGGCATTCTACACTGACCATGATTTTACTTTCTATCCCTAAACAGATAGTCATATTTTTACACTTACCGTAAAATACCGGGCAAGCGCCCACTCAAACTTTGGAGATAATCGCAAAAACATGGGGGATGGGCGCTTGTCCGGTCATCAATTTTACATATAAATGTACTGTACGTATTTCCTCAGATCTCACAAATTTCGTAATGGGCGCTTAATGTGGAATGGGCGGATGCGCGGTATTTTACGGTAATACGCATTCATGTCCATAGTTTTATCACATATTTCGCTACTGTAGCTTTCCTTTTCCTAACCCCGTATTGCAATAGTCTAAGCTTGGTGCAATATAGCCTTAGATGCTGATGTGCCATAAAGCCCCAATCAATCAATCAATCAATCTGTCACTGATCAGGGTCCCTGAGGCAGACGCACGGCAATGACTGACAAAGCGGCACCTTGCACTGGTCCCGGTTTTCTCGAAGCGTGAATCTTGAGAGCGGCCGTCAGAAGGCGCAACCAGTCATTTCGGCTGGCGTCCGCAAGCTTTCACTGCCGACTGTACCCACGAAAGGAGAACTAGGGACTGCATTTAGTTGTTTTCAGTCCAAAGTTTGAAGGGTCCTACAAGTCGCCGTCTACCAAACAAGCTGGAAGTTGCCTTGAACGCGTATTTCAATGGTCACGGTCAAATTTGAAAGTGTATCTACCTTTCGAACAGAGTTCTTTTTTATGCAGCATTTGACTGCTTGACAATGGAGGGGATTCCTTTTTATTATTTTTTTGCAGAGATGATCTGGTTGCTTTCAAAATTTCACTAGATAAAATTGATAGTAAACTGTACCTTTGAGGATTACTTTAGCTTTCTAGTACGCTGTTTTACTTTAGTGCTCTGTCTTCTGTTTGGACACAATGTGCTGTAGATTTATATCATTTTGTATGGACCATGAATATTTGGTTTGGAAGGCATGATATCATTTGCTAAGCAAAGCGGCGGATCTTGGTAATGAAAACAAGGGATATGAACATATTTTAATTAAAAGGTGGAAGCAACTTGCTCTAGTGCCATGCACTGGTAGTGGTTAGGAATTTGTGACCAATTAATAATTTACTATTAATCCATTAAATGGTCTAGAGTGAAGGCCCATTGAATTATTGCAAAATTTTATATATCTACATCATTGTACATTTGGGAAGCACAATTGTTAGAATCAGTACTACCGTATTTGCACGAATATAACGCGAGTTTTTTTTCGAAATTACGTGCTCCAAAACGCACCTCGCGTTATATTCGGAATCGAGTTCAGCCACGGGGCGCGCGAGTCTGGAGAAAGCCAGAGGAGAAAGTCATCCCTCCGGCTCAATGCAAAAGGTCCAATGGAAAAAGAAGTGGGGGTGTGGAGGGGCATTTTCTAGCCATTGGGCCACGTGAAGGGGCGAATAGAAAACATAAAAAAGCATTTTTATCGCTTCTGTGTTTTTACAACGCGCGCGCACGCCGCACGCGCCATGCGGGCACCGGCCAATTCAAGCCAAGCCAAGCCGGGCCAAGTCAGGTCAACACAAGCCAAGCCAAGACCACCGACCGCGTTTACGCAATCGTGCAACACAGGCATTTGTTTACGAAGAGGGACCAGAACAAGAAGTGTGATCGTGTATCGGGTTCAGCTGTCTTTTCTCTGCCTGTGCATTTCTTAGTTTTTGCTCCAGAGTGGTCTGGTGTTTGTGTGTTGGTGCTTCTGCTTCCGCGCCTTGTTTGGATTGTGGGCTGCCGAGGAGCTCCCATGGAAGAAAAAAGAACTACCAGACAAGCAGCTGCCGTGCTGCTGCATACCTGCGTAGTCGCCAAGTGGATTGTAAACGGAAGGACCTGAGCAGTGAGGATGAGTGCAGTCAAAACAAACTGATATTTCTTCTATTTCCATTGACTTTTCACTTCTGCTATGCCCCCGAGTGCGAGAAATTGACGCGGCATCGGTTCGCGTTATAATAGTAATAATATTTTTTTTTCATTTTGGGGGCATCAAAAACTGCCCTCGCGTTATATTCGTGGTCGCGTTACATTCGTGCAAATACGGTATATAGCCTAGGCAATGCAGGGTTAAAAAACAAACACCACTGTACAAGAAGACAAATACGAAAAATACTGCCCCTCAATGGCCATAGCCATAGTGACCCCTGAATACTGAGTAGACCTTGAAACGTTGGGTCCCTAATTAGTGCATGGAAAGCCATTTTATTTCATTTGTTTGATTGTTTGGCATACATTCAACTGCCATGGACTGATGGCATAAGTAGAGGAGAGCACAGAAAGAAATTATGTTGTGTAACTCTCAAGACTGATGAGGGAAAAACGAAAAACTTCTGAGTTGAAGAAAAAGACCTAGGAGAAGAAATGCCTCAAAACTTGGCTAACTGATTTATTTCTCTCACTCCTTATGTACGCACAGTGCTGTCTCCAGCGGCCTTTTTCACAAAGACTCCCTTTGTTACCACAACCAGAGGAATTCTTTAAAGGGATACTACAATGAAATTTCGGCGCTCATTTTTTGGTCTATATGTGTTCAAAAGAGCAGTATCACATGGAACATACCAATATCTTGTTAAAAAAGTCTCGAAAAGCAATTTTAAAACGAATTAAACGATTAGCAAAGAGCACCTGGTGGATGTCGCTAACGCCTCGTTTGTAATGCTCGTCTAGGAACCTTGACAGCTAGTGACGGAGGTTGTCTCGTCTCCGGCCACGACGAGAGAAGGGGGGAAGGAGGAACTCCCCTCTTCCCGAGAATCCCTTTTGTGTGTCGCAGAAGTCCCTATTGTCCCCCTAGAAGATTATAGAAGATTAACCCGTCACTCGAAATTCGTACAAAAGCAGCCGCTTCGGTAGCTGGAACGAATAGGCCATCCTTTCGACGTCAGCCTCGCCGTAGCTTTGCTCGTCTTGAGACGACCTACATCACGATTGCGTTGGATGTCACGTGCTCTAAGCTGGGCCTTCTCCGAGCGCTTGCCAGAGTGGGCCGTTTATAACGAAAAATGCAGCTACCAGGATCAAAATAAAAACGTGCGATTGTCATTTACGGATATTGTGGATCATATTCAACCTATTTTTGAACACGACGGGAATATTTCAAATTTCGTTGAAGTATCCCTTTAAGGCAAGGTTTTGCAGACAAGATTGTCATTAAGGGGGTACACTGGCTAGAGTTTGAACTTCTGAACTACTCAAATGATAGGTATGAAATTTGCAGGGGAGATTTAACTTCAGATGAAGCTGTACTGTGCAAACTTTCAGCTCTCTAGGACAACTTTACATACCTGCCTAAGAAGATGTGTCACTCTTCGTTAAGAAATCTATGATATGCAAATAAAAGTATTAAGCATCATTTTAACTGCTTGAATATAAAGTGGGGGATGTGGGACTTCATGCTATCTAGTTTTTATAACTGAAATGTAAATATTTCAGGAAGACTGATTACCTCAAAATATGAGATGCATATCTGTCCTATGTCAATTTTTGAAAACATGGCTTTTTCTCAATGAGGACTTCAACCTAAAACAAAATAAAATACTAGATAGCCCGATTACCCCCAGTAAATTTCAGTTCAGAAACATATTGATTGTGGTGTCAATACAAGTTTACCTTTGAACAAAAGATGCCTTCGTATGAAATTTGCGGCAAAAAGCTGAACTGAGAAAACTGCGTTCAAACATTGAACTCCTTTACTTTGTTACTGCCTCACTATGTGTTGAAAATAATTATATCAGCGGAACTATTTGGCGCATGATTATGAAATTAAGTGTAAGGGTGTATAATTAATTTCTTAAACTGAAAACTGAAAAAAAAAAAAAAAAAAGTGTGTGCTTTTGTACTTTGAAGACATGGTATCCCAGAGAATCAAAAGTCTCACTGGTGATTAAATTTTTGATATTAAGTTTGACAGCAGGGCTGTCAAACTTAAATTCTTGATAGTGAGCCTGTAGAAAAGTCTACTTTTAACCAATTAATGGGTTAAGAAATTAGTCCACGATTAATGCATTCATTTATTGGTAGCTTAATGATATTCAGTTAATTTCACAGCCCTAACTGGAACCTAATGTTTTTCGGTGTAAGTTGTATTGTAAGCCTATTCTTTGTCAAGGTTAAGAAAATCTGACGGGCTGTTGCATTTGATTTGATTGAAATCTTGAAGGAAAGTCAGCCAGTCCAGATGTCTTTTCCCTGTGACTGAGCCATAAGCTATGAGTGACCAGAGTGCATCTCTGGGCTAACAAAGGTTCCCCGTCAAAGTCTAAATAAATGTAGGCCACAATCAACCAGTTTATCTAGCTCACATAAATTGTTTTCTTTCACTTGGAAAGCGGATCGCCCTTTTCGGAGGCGCAGTGGGGGGCGGCGGGTATATCACTGAGGCACGTGTTAACCCCCCCCCTCTTGCGCCACTTCGAGGCAACAGTCTGTGGATGACTCATTAGAAAATATTAACTTGCGTGGCCCACCCGTACATGCTGCTTCGTGTCGCCCCGCCGGCAGCCCAAGCCCCGCTGTAACCCATTGCACCTCTGGAAAGGGAGTCCCGTGGAAAGTTATTTGATTTGTTTGTGCCTCACTGTATTTTGTTTTTAAGGAGACATTAAAGAAAAGGTCTTGGCAACTGCATTTACAGGAGTCTCCTCACACTGCTGGTGCCCAGCGGGGTTGGGAGGGCGGCACACCCCCTTCAGCGTCCCACGCTCAGCAGAAGGCTCTTCTGCCCGTTCCGCATGTTCAGCCGAAGACAATTCAGCAGTCCTCTCGCTTCCTTTCTCCAAACACTGACTCTCAAGAACGGTACACGCCACCTCCACCGGTGCAGCGCGACCAACGAGATCAGCGCGATCAACGGGACCAGCGAGATCTGCGTGATCTGCGGGAACAACGTAACCAGCATGACCAGCGGGATCGTGAACAGCGAGATCGTGAACAACGGGATCGTGAACAGCGGGACCGTGAACAGCGGGACCGTGAACAGCGGGATCGTGAACAGCGGGATCGTGAACAGCGGGATCGTGAACAGCGGGATCGTGAACAGCGGGACCGTGAACAGCGGGACCGTGAACAGCGAGACCGTGAACAGCGAGATCGTGAACAGCGGGATCGTGAACAGCGTGACCTGCTGCGTGACCAGCCAGTCATTGAAACGCAAGGGCAGGACAGGGACGGTGGCTCCGGTGGGAAGCAACGGAGGGAGCGGGAGGTGGTTCAGCAGAAGGAACACGAGGATCCCAGGTGGGGCCACTTTTTTCCCCGCATTGTTTCTTCTAATGCAGTGGTTCTCAAAAGGGGGTCCGTGGACCCTTTGGAGCCTCTGAAGGCATTTTTAAGGTTCGTGAAACCCTTGATTATCAATCAAGGTGAATAGTAAAATTTTTTTTTAATTGATGATTACTGTTCCACAAAGCTAAATAGACCAAACCATGCGTGCCCAGTGAGTAGGGTTGATTATTCTCTCGTTTCAGGGCTTGAAAGCAGGTTTTCACCCATTTAGTTTTCTTTATTTACCCTTTTGTCACTGCAATTGCCCGTTAGCCCCTCTTTTCCCCCAGTGGATGGGGTCCCCCGTCACTTCCGCTAGTCCAGAAGGAGTTTCTAGAACATCAGTGGTTAAGAACCACTGTTCTAATGTTTCTTGCATAAAGAATTATCTTTTTTTATGGGCAATTGAAGGCAAGGCACAGATCTGGGTAAATGTTTTTTGATAGTTATTTTACATCGGTAGCTGTTAGTGCCTCTTCCCGGCAAAAATGCTCATGTACAAGCACAAACTCTACAGCAGAGGCACTGCTCTCTTTCTCTCTGTGGTTCCTCACATGGCAAGGCTCTCTCTCGTTCCCCCCTCCCTTGCCCCCTGTAGGCCGCTGCTTTTCTTGCTCCGGCGACGCTTTGCCTTCTCCCCCCCCCCCACATACACACACACACACACACCACACACACACACACACACACTCCTGTAGCCTCTATTGACAAATACCCACGTGGTCGCGCTGTGCGGACACTCTCCCTTGCCTCCCCACTGCCACTGTGTGCTCTCCGCCATTCTACAGAACAGCTCGTATACATACTTTCACTTCTTACACCGCACATGAAATCACCCCCAATGTAAAAAAGTGTTCCAGCAAAAAAAAACAAAAAAAAACCCGTCTGTGTTTTTTTAGATGCATTCAACATGTCTCACAATCGTTCCACCAAAGCACGCTTCTCACACACGTCTCCTGCATCAATTACACTGATAGCAAAGAACCCATTGCAGACATTGTACTGCATGCTGGCTGAAGACTAATCTCCTCTAACTTGCCTTTCCACAACGCAGCAGCTGCCGCTGTCAAACGCAGGACACTTTGTTTGCAATTTTATTTTAAGAAATTTGTTACTTCAATTTTAACCAATGCTAATTCTATAATTGGCAATTGTCTGTGAAACAATGTTCACTATGCCGGAGGACAGTGAAGCATACACTGTACCGTGCTGGCTCACCTGTGCCAATTGCGCTATTTCGATGAATTTGCAGTTGCCTGTACCTTGCTGCGCCCATGGCCAAATTTGCACCACAGTGCACTAAGAGAGCTTGTCAATCTGTAAACATATTGTTTTATGGAAGATTTGGTGTTTTGAACTGGCAACTCAGTCCAGACCTTCTTTTAGTAGGCAACAGTTGTAGCCGGATCACCGGCTGATCCGGTTGACACGGTGACAGTCCCTACAGTAGAACGTAGATTTCGCCCTAACCGAATCGAGTTCGGCAACCTTCCGTTGTCTACCTTAGAGGTTTTGAGGCAGCACTAAATATAAACCAGCTCATCTCTTCCTTTCATCCTGCGCACATGTAGTAAAAAGGTAGGCACGGCTTAGTAGAAAAGTAGTGCTTGTACACGAGTCTCGTTTCCTTAATGTGCTCAGTGTGGGATTGCTTTGTTATAAAATGGTTGTGCTTTCATTTTCGCGTCAACTTCTCGTGAGCTTGGATTATCGTACTTGTCGTTAAAGTGTGTGTGCTTTGTGGAACCCTGGAATTTTGTTCTCGAAGCTTAGAGGCATGTTTACTAAATCGGTAGAGTTTTTTTTATTATCAGGCATTCAGGGTAAATCGTCCGCAGTCAAGGACTCGTCACTAAATAACCGTAGCTGCTTTGAACTTTGTGTATCATTCAAATATTATTGCCTTAGCAAACCTGACTTTTTTTTTTTTTTTTCATCTTCCTGGAAATGCTGTGGCGGCCACAATCGTTGACTTTACATCTAATTTTTTCTTGGCTTTACTGTCTGGTTCGCACGCTTTCCGATGTTGACAATTACAATATATCTTGTGAAAGGTGCAATTTTAGACGTCTAGTGATTTTTGTGTCTCAAGAGAATTTTACGTATAGTGAAGATTGAATCCTAAATTGTCACACACACAGATTTCTCGTTTATAAGGGGGAGTTTTAATTGATTGTTACGACAGTCCAGCTACGCTCTCCGCGATTTTCAACGAGAACCTCAAACCCGAGGACAAAGCTATACTCCGTTTCACCTTATGTTGTACCACAGCAAAGGCCAAAAGTGCGAGCTCATATCATGGGCAGCTGCCCTTAATGCATGGGAGCTTGTGCTGCTGAGATGTGCCCTAGAGCAGGGAGCTTGCGCTTGTAGCCTTCCCTGCAGTACATCATAAGGTGAATTAGAGTATACGCTCCGTGCGGGAACTATAGGGGCGCTTTGAAATACGCGCGTAGCGCCGCTAGCGGGGGAGCTGGCGTTTGACAGTGAGGCGCGCTCAGCAGCCTGCGGCGCCTTTTCGCGTGCGAAGCTGTGGCGGCGGAAGCGCGCACGGACGGAACTTTTGCTTTTTGAGCCGATAAGTTGAGAATGATGTTGCACGAGTGCTGGGGCAGATTTAAGAAGGGCATTTAGCTGTTCTCCGCTTCTTATATACTGAGTTTGAGTCGTTATTAGGGGTAATTTCTTTAGATGCGATCGAAAAAGGAGTCTGAGAAATTTTCCGAAAAGCAAGACGGCCGCCACCATAATTGCTCTCAGTTGGAAATTTGTTTCACTCGTCGCTGTAAAGTTAGGACTGCTGGGACAATGATATTTGGAGGCAAGTGAGATGTTCACTAAGTTTGTGCACTAAGTGGGCAAAGTTTTATTAAGACAGCAGGTGTGAAAGTTATGGTTCAAACGAATAAAGGAATAAAGCTGTCAAAAATATCCAATATTGGACCCAAAATGTTGTGTTATAACCGGGCGGTGTGAAGTGCAGATTTGGACGCACAGGTTCTTGGACATGACCGTAACTTGACACATAGTTATAATACCAAAAATAGGTGGCATAGGGAAACCAGGTGGAAATTTGGTTTGGACGGCGTAACTGAATGGGAAACGGTTTTGACCGTGAAAGGGCTGTCAAGAGAATACCACTCGTCGTGGGAGATGGAGTCTTTACAGGTAGGAAGGGACTAATGCACTGTACTTCCAATTGTAACAATGTTACGAAAGGTGGTTTCAAGGCCGAGAAAACCAAGTTGCCGGCCAACACATGGTTTGGCCGTCAAAGGCATTTGCGGTCAGCTGTTGTGTAGTAATCTGGTTGTGCGAGGTGCTGATTTTCGGCACACAGGTACTTTGACAACCATAACTTGACAAAACACTTATTATACCTAAAAGAGGTGGCATAGTTTAACCAGGTGGAAATATTTTTGGTCGGCGTAACTAAATTGGAACCGGTTTTGACCGTCAGTGGCTGTTGAGAGAATACCACTCATCATGGTCGGGAGGTGCACACTGTTACTTTACAGGTAGGAAGGGACCAGTGGATGGTACTTCTAGTTCGAACAACTTTGCGGTAGGTGGCTCTAAAGCCGAGAAAAAAAATTGTTGTCTACAAGACTCGGTGTGTCAGCTTTTCCACATCTAAAAGGAGGCTGGTCAAAAAAAGAAAGCACGTGCACCACATAAACTTTGATACTCAAACATCGATTGTCCAGTGTTTCCAATTCTCATTGTAGTTTTCCTTAGATTCATATTTGTCACTTTTTGTACCGTCCGAATCTTTCTTCATGAAGTACAGACTGCGTACCATACTGGTCCGGAAATATTATCGGCTCGTACGATGGGGACGAAACTTCTTTGGAGGGCATTCCTTCAACGAAATTCGCACTGCATACCCGCGAGTGTGGGATGGCATTTCAGTTTGAGCTGAGATATGTAGGCGTTACTGGTACGAAAACAAACGCAGAGCGCAAAGCGGTAGTATGTCAGCCGTGCGGATACAGTGGCAGATGCATGATCGGGAGACCAAATTTCTCGCATCGTACGGCACTGGTCCATCGTTGTCGCTGTCCCACAAAATATCGGCGAGGTGAAAAACTGTGAAATTTCGTCCCCACGAGATACGACGCATAACTATTGGAGCACTTAACGACGCAGCAGTTCATGCTGTCAACCCAGCGCAACCACACAGCTCCGACTTCAATGCATACCAATGTACACGGCGTGGTTTCGTTTTGCTGGGGCTCTCACTGCATACCTTCAGTAACGGCCGCGCGGCGGCGCGCCGGTCGCGTTGCACGGAGTGTATAGTGGCATGCATGTGTGGTATTTAGCTATTTAGCTGTTTAGGCAGTGCTGTACGTCCACTAACATGGGCTGTTAACGTGTATCAGATAGTATTTGATTAGACCAGAGTTGCACAAACTTTTCAGGCCGTGACCCCTAAAATACTCAAACGTTGTCCAGCGCCCCTTCTCCCTCCCCCCCTCCCCCCTTTAGAGCAGTTTCAAAGCTGTCAGCGGCTTGGCTTCCTAGGCCCCTGTGACCCCGTTGCCTTACAACCCCCACTTTGCGCACCTCTGGAATAAACAACCACATGCTGCTACTATGATAGGAAACTGCACAGTACGGCTACATAATTTTGTTAGTGCGGCTCCATAGTTACTAAAAAATTTCAAAAAAATTTCTCCAAACTTTAAACTAACTGGACCACCACAGCATACTAAGAAACATTGGGGTTTTTATTTCCGGAGAGAAGTGGACTTCACTTATTGTAAAAAAGAATAAACGAATGAATCGCATTGGGACTCGTAAATGGGCTATTTTGTCGTAATGAGCCTGAAAATCTTTTGGGTAGCACCATCACTTAGGCAGTAAAGGTGACTTTTAGAGCCACTTCTCAAATAGCAAGCATTGAGCATCCCCTGCTTTCCAGTTTGAACCAGTCTTGCAGGCAGCCATTTATGAGCAGGTTCCTGGGAGAGATTTTCCTATTCACGGTTATTAACAGTTTTGATGCCTTACATAGTGTGCTTGAAAGATTGGTTTTGGGATTAACCTCTCCTTGTGAGACGCCAGTTTACACTCTCCGTAATTCAGCTTTTCCTTTTGAGTCAGCGGGTACGAAACGGCCCGTGCTAAAAGCCGCACTTGGAGCTCCCCATTGAAGCCTCTGGTCTTGCAGGAGGCGCGGCAGCGGAAGCAGTGAAGGCATGATCCGGGTCCTGGATCCCCGGCGTCCAGCATCGCCACCACCACCACGACCCGCTTCTCCGCCGCCGCAGCTGCGCCCTCGCACACCGCCAAGAACTCCTCCGTGCACCCCGCCTCCGCGCTCCCCGCCACCCCACACCGACGACGACCTTCAGGTGACGTTGGATGTTTGGGTACTTTACCTCTGACTCTGGTCACGTTAAAGGGCCCATGAAACGATTTTTGGGTTGGGATAAATCAGTTTAGATTGGGATTTTACTAATAGCACATCGTTCAGTGGACCAAAAGAAAAAAGGTAGAAAGTCAAAAGCCTGACTTTCAGTGCGAAAATTTGAAAACAGAGCGGACTATTTCGTACCTCCTCCCCTTCGCAACCTCTCTGCCTTTTCACTGTGATACATCCGCGGTCCCAAAAGCGCGTTATCGGGTCCAAACTGACGTCACACGCAACCGGACCTCACTTATTCCCTTCACCCCTAAGCTGACATTGTAGTGGAAGCTACGCGCTTGCCGGACCAATCAGCCGCCTCCCTTTCATCACCTGACTTCATTCTCTGCAGCCACATTTGCCACGCTCACGTGGCAAGTGTGGCTGGCCCAACGAGCACGTAGCTTCAAAAGCACTGTCAGCTTCGGAATGAACGGGGTGGGGAAAGCAACTTTTGTCTGAATTTTGAGCGACGGGCTAATCTTCTAGGGGGAGAATGGATGTGTCCGGGATTACACAAACGAGAGTGCGAGCAAGAGGGGACTCCCCCTTTTCGTCTTCTTTAAAATGCGCGATTTATGAGTTGAGGAGGAAAGCAAAACAGGAAAAAGTTGGAAAAGCGTTTCATGACCCCTTTAATTTTGCCGCGTCTTTCTATTCTGTTCGAGGCGCATTCGTCGACTGATATTGGCTCTTGCCCGAATTTGCCCAACCTCACGTCCAGGTTCTGCCGAGGGGTCCCCGGACGCCCAAGGAGGAAGAGCCGGACGAGGCCCTGTCGCCGGCCGAGACTCCACCCCCCAAACCCGTGGCCCCGGCCCCGGCGAAACCGGCAACGCCCAAGACGTCTCCACCGAACATGATCATGGCGGCGCCAATACCAACCATCCAGACGGTGTGCGCAGTGCCACCGGCGGCGACGGTGATCCCGATGGAACCGGTGGTGGAAGGTCGTTTGGAAGACGACGACGACCTGTTCGAGACAATCAGTCCGGACGCGTCGCCGGAGGCTTTTCAGGAGGGCTCCGAGGGCGAGCCGCCGGTGGGGGTTGCCATGGTGGGACTGGACGATGACGACAACGGCTTCGAGGAGATTTCTAGTGAGGAGGAGCCGTACCTCTCGGACAGCGACACTGGCATTGGCATGGTAAGTGTCTGCTACCTTTTGCACTGCCACTTGCAGCCTTTGACGGGTTGCTGGGCCGCGTCGTGTCTTTCAGGAGGGGCTTGTTACAGCGGTAGCAATAGCAGGCTTCTCTCACCACTGGAAATGACGACCGTCGTCGTTGTAGTTGTTGTTGTAGTGGGGCATGGATCAGCATCGCCGATATCATAAAATGCTGGAAAAATAACGCCTGCCGCCACGGAGCTCTCAGGATTCGATCCTGGGTCCGCTGCGTGGGAAGCAGACGCGTTGCCACTGAGCTATGCCATAGCTTTGACAATCTGTTTTATGTACAGTATTTGACGAGGATAGACGTGCGTGTGAGTGCTGTGTAGTGCCCGCTAGGAGGACCGCAGTTGCTGCGACGTCACGATTGAAAATTCATTGCGATTCCTCATGAATTCCAAATTTAGTCTGAGTTAATCGTTGAAATTACTAGCTTTGGCTAGGTGGCACGAACCTCCGCCCGACTAAAAGGGTTTAGCCGTATCCATCCATCCAGTACGACCTAGAATAAAAGGCCTGCACGTTACGTCATCGCTAGAGAACCCCTGAGCTGCCCTGAGCGGCAGACGCACTGCAGCTCAACGAGAGTTTGACACAAAGTGGCAGACGCGTGCGTCTCGGTGCCGCCGCGTGCCAGTGTCACGTTGTTGTGAGCCGCTGAAAGACGTGCTGGCGGTGACGCTTGCGCGTCTCGTCATTCGTCCCAAGGAGAACAATGACGTGCGTGCTAGTGAGAGCGAAGCCAAAAGGATTCTCCGTCAAGACCCCACGGTGCGTGAACGCAACACCGATCAACAAGTTTGCCGTGACGTGTACCAGCTATCGCTTTGACTGTACTGTAGATTATTTCTCTTCTCTTTAGTTTTCGACAAGTGGAAGTTTTGTGAGAGTATAATGCGTCTGGTTATGTAATGTGAAACACAGAGGAATGCCCACCTGGTTGGTGTTGGCTTCAGCAGGATTTGGGCAGTTTGTTCCAAAAATATAGATGTAGATGTGCATGCTCTGCAGTTTAAATTAAGGAATTTTGTTTTACACATATCCTTTGCTGTTCACATATTCTTGGTATAATCTCCGGTGCGTATACATCAATATGAGAACTACCGTGTCATACTAGAAGTTGTTTATACTGAATCTGCTAGGATGCTTACTCACTGTGGACTTCGTATTGAGAATGCTTACTTTCCTGACGGAAGTAATGTGTGCACATCATAAAATTCTGCGAAAGTTCTCACTTCGTACAAGCGCCCACTATTAACATTTCCCAAACTTGGGAATTCTGCAGATTCTATGTTAAACACCCACCCCCTCCAAAGCGCCAGCATAAGCTGAAAATGTTCACCCTGTTGCGGTGGCCACTAGACCTCCAGCGGCAATGACGGGTATGTCACGTGAAAATAAATGTGCTTTCTTTGATCTCTTTAACCCTGTCTTCAAAGCTCTTTATTGGCCGCCATCTTGGTTTTTACCGATTTGACCAGACAAGCACCCATGTCTAGTATAACCCAGTTTTCAGTGAAAGTTGGGTGATCGCTTCCCCTGTATTTTACAGTACAACATTTCTCGTTAGAAAGACAATTGGTGTAGGTTTTTTTGTTTTTGTTTTTAATTGCAGTAACCTCTAGAAGTAATATAGGAGACTGAGATTTTAAGAAAGCCATTTTTGCAGGTGGACGTTGACTATGACGTTGGCGAGGATTCATGGAACTACCTGTCAACCTTTGACCCTTTCCAGTGTGAGCTGCTGCCCTTGCAGGTATGCTGTCGGATGTGTCCGAAGCCCACAAATATTCTTTCTTTCTTCAGTATTCTCTAAATGTTGGAACAGAGCCACTTTGCGTCTGCATCAATATTGCTTTCGAAATGGTCACAAGAAAGGCGGTGGCTTATCCTATGTAGATTTGTAGCCTTTGACCTAGCTAGGTTTCACTGGTGGCAGAATTCTGCTTATTGGTCTTACAAATCATGTTCCTCTCTCTCCACCCTTTGTCTCTTGCAGACAGCAATTGTATCTTGCGCTTATTAGAATTAATTTTAGACCAATAAATTTACGTTTGGCAGCACTCGTTACTTGCAAATTCAAGGCGCTGCTATGGGATCAATGATGTCCCCAAATTATGTTAATATCTTAATGGGTAAATTAAAAAAAAAATAAAAAAAACTTTATTTGGTCGTATACTAAGAAGCCGGCGATATATGTTTGTTATATTGACAATGTTTTTATAATCTTGAACGACACAGAAAATACACTTCTTTCCTTTCTGGATTACCTGAATGACTGTCACCGCACAAATAAATTTACTCGCAATTACTCCGTGAGCCCGATGAACTTTCTCAATGTTAACATTAAAAAAAATAGGAAATAATTAAATGGCAGAGCTGAGCAGGAAGCCTACAGACAAGTGGCAGATTCTTCACTACGATAGCTACCACCCAAAATGTAAAAAAAAATAACATACCTTACAGTCATTTCCTTCGGTTATGTAGTACCATTAGTTATAGACTACTACTCAAACATATCAAGCCTAAATTCTATACTGAAGAGGCATTTAAATATCTTGCATTCCGACGACAAACTTAAAAAGATATTTCCCGAATCTCCCTTTGCCACTCTCCGCAAGCACCGAAGCCTCGGGAGAATGCTATGTCCATCTTACACAAAAAGTCTTGATTCATCCGGTGGCCGCGGTCCTTGTCGGAGTGCCCCATGCCAGCTCTGCCCTTCCGTTTTGAACGCTGATCGTATTTCGAGCTGCGCAACAGCTTTCTTTACTAATATTAAACAATGTATTGACATCAAAACTCCTGACGTGATATATATTATTAACTGCACACTCTGCAATATGTGGGGGAGACTAAAAAATCTCTGAAGGAGCAATTCTATGGCCTCAAGTCAGACATTGTAAATAAGGAAAGTACACCAGTTGCTAAACACTTCAACTCTGACATACAGTTGAACCTCGTTATGCCGAACTAGCATCGGAAACAGAACTTTGTTCGCTATATGCGATATTCGTTATAAAAGTACACACAAAAATTGATGCAAACGTTCCCGCAATCGAGCCCATGCAAGAACGTGCAGAGCAGTAAGATATAAAAACACGCTATCACGGACCACAAGTTCCTTACCTGTCACTAAGCAGCATTAAAAAAATTGATCGTAGCATGAGGATATCAGTATGCAACACGAGAAACGACGTTAGCTGGATCTATTATTCCGTTTATTTGAAGACGTGACTTTGGGCTGGTGCCTCTTCACCTGGAGCCACTGTGCTGAAATCATCATGCTCTAACAGACTTGCCTGACTGATTGCTTTTGTTTAAGAAACTGACCAGGCATCGGCAGATTTCGTGCCGTTGTGTCATAAAACCATGAGAACAGAGCCTCTTCCACGTCCGGGTCGGGGCAAGACCTAAGACTTTTTCGATCAGTCTTGACGGTGTTGTTTGTGAAGCAGACTTCGATTCCATCGCTACGGAGTCGGTGGGACCCTTAAAGGGGTCATGAAACGATTTTTCAACTTTTTCCTGCGTAGCTCTCCTTCTCAACTCACAAATCGTGCATTGTACCAAGCAATTCAAGAAGGCGGAAAGGAGGGGCTCCCCTCTTGCTCGGACCCTCGTTTGTGTTCCTAGACACCACCATTCTCCTCCTAGAAGATTACCCGTTGCTCAAAACTCAGACAAAAGTTGCTTTCCCCACTCCGTTCACCCCTAAGCTGACAGTGCTGTGGAAGCTAAGTGTTCGTTGGGCCAGCCACACCTTTGCACGTGGCCACGCTCCCTCGTGCATACCCACGTTCAGAGAATGAGGTCAGGTGATGAAGGGAGGTGGCTGATTGGCCCGGCAAGCGCATAGCTTTCACCGCACGGTCAGCTTAAGGGTGAAGGGAATAAGTGAGGTCCGGTGTCGTGTGACGTGCGTTTGGGCCCGGTGACGCGCTTTGGGCACCGCCGATGTATCACAGTAAAAGAGGCAGAGAACTTTTCGAAGGGAAGGAGGTACGAAATAGTCCGCTGTGTTTTTAAATTTTCGTACCGAAAATCAGGTTTTTGACTTTCTACCTTTTTTCTTTTGGCCCATTAAACGATATGCTATTAGTAAAATCCCAATCTAAATTCATTTATCCTAGCCCTAAATTCGTTTCATGGGCCCTTTAAAAGTTTAGTGGTCCCAGGTTTCAAATGTAATGGCCATTGTGTGCTTCTTCCTATGTCTGACAGCACTTCAAAGATCCCAGCCTTACTCCGTACGAAGTAGAAAAGCTGAAGACTGGCGGCCAACCTCACGAACTGTCCGATGACTTTCGTAAGGTGGTGGACAGCCTTTCTGCCTTTGCTGAGAAGGAACACAATGAAAGGCGAGTATACTCGTGTTTTCTCTCTAAATGCTGCCAACTCATGTAGGCCCACTTGCCTAGCTTTCCTATTCATGCCGCAGTTTCAGGATGCCGGCACTAGGTGCAAGACAACACAGTAGGGAAGGAAAGCTCTAATTCACTTGACTCCCAAGTTATCTGCAAACTATTTCGGCTTTTAAGCTGGTGTCACATCTAATTTTTTGTGCAAAGTTTTAAAACAATAATATTTTGGAAAGGAGAGAGAATGAAGAAAAGGTGGCTCATGTCAGCAGTCGACCCTGCTTATTGACTTCTGTTTGCTGAAGTAAATCCCAATAGGGTTTGTACCATGTTTACTCGAGTAATTGAAGTTTTTTATGAACAAAGCCGACTTGTCGATGCTTCCATAGAGTACTATGCAGACACCCAACCATCGCCCAGCGACTTGCAGCACAGGTAACATCCTCACAAGAAAATATGTATGCAGGTCACATTTTCGCAAAAAATAATTTTCTTATCCTCTTTTTTTTCCTATATTTTTCATTATTACCCAATGATTAACTGTATCTGCACTCTACAGGAAAGTAGACATGCAGGCCTTGCTCATAAACAGCATGTCAACTATTATATAAATGCGGTATAGTATCATGCTTTTCCCCTCACCAATAGCAACCTTCTTTGTGATTTTGCCTGAGCCTGTTGCTTGTTTCTTATGGACCTTGTCTTAAGCTTAAGCAGGGATTCAAATAATTTTGCACATCAAATATTTGTCTATCTTTTAGGTGGGTGGAGGCGCTTGAAAATGCAACCACCAACCTGAGTCCAGATGCCTTGGCTGAGCTTTTTGGGAACAAGGATTTGGAAGGTAGGAGGATTGATTCATATATCTTTATTACACTTTTTGTGTTGAGATTTGTAAAAACAGTAAAGCAGAAACAATTAGCAGAGATTACGCCGGGACTTTTGCCTCTTTTGCATTCCGAATGCACATTGTGGTCGCACGTTGCGACCTTGTCAAAGGCAGAAAGAGAAGGAGCTAAATGCGAAAGCAAACGGAGATGGGAGAGATGGCGAGAGACGTGAGGGGAAAGCCAGAAAGCGGAGGAAGGCACAATTGGAATGGGCGAGAGCAAACAAAGGCAGCACTGCCATCAGAGGAGATAGAACAAAGAATGAATAGCCCCTCAGGGAAAGAGGAGAATATGACTGCTAGCGGAGTTTTGTCACTCTGGTTTCCGGCGACACGACGCTCTGTGGTCATTGTATGATGCAGGATGCATGTAATCACACGTCCCGTAATCTCAACTTGTAATACATTGTTTCTATTGGGGAGTTTGGCGGGCCTAGGGTAAATGGTTGTAAAATGTAGAATGTTGCACAAACCACGAACACATGATTGGGGTTCCGTGTAACTTGGCTTATTTTGTCTGCGTATCATGTATAAGTGTAATAAAAATGTCGGAGAGTTTAGCGTTAGGCGCTGCTCCCCTAAGTTCCGACAGGTGTGGTTATTGAAATCCGGGGTGTGTGTGCGTGCAGCTGCAGCCAGCTCGCTGCTTGACTGGGTCGAGGAAGGGCTCAGCTTGAAAGCTGCACTGAGCCAGTTGCAGCCGGCGTACAAGGTGCGTCACATGAAAGCCGGCATCCGCATGGCCACCATGCTCTTCCTCACTGGAGAGGACATCATCTCGAGGCTACTGGTGAGTCATTTCACTCCTTGCTGTTCTTTGGAAGTGTTAAGAGTATACATTAGTTCCTTGTTGTAACGAAAGCGCTTTTTTCGAATTATCGCTTCTATCGAAGTTCAACATAGTCTCGACCGAAATGCACACACTTTTAACCGGATTATTCTAAGTGTGTCGGCGGCCGACCACGCTTATTACAAAGGCCGAGGTGCCGAAAGTACGCAGGCCTACACGGAGGTGCACTGAGACCCTTGCATTCCCTCCACCTTCTCCACTGAGGCAAATGGCAAACTGGAAAAAAGGAGTAAACTGGTGATGAAGGGCAGAGTGTGCAGAGCTGGCAGAGTGCCGCTTCCGCTGCCGATGCGCCGACCTGGGGATGCAGGCAGGGAGCAGCGTCAACATTCCGATGCTACTCACAGCGCTTGCAGCTGACGCTGTCCGTCTCCTCTCGAAATCAGGTCAAGGGAGCAATGGAGCCCGGAGGAGATCATCCCTTCTGGAGTCCCCGACGTGCACGCCTGCGCGGGCGTGCTTGCAGCGTACAACAGGCACACGTGTGTTGTATGGGAGTTGCTTAGATCTTCGAGGTTGAGAAAAATGGCTGACCTAAGTTCGAAATCTCCAAATAATTCGACATTCCGGCGTCGGCTGTTTGACACTGTCCACCGTTTTGCAGAACAACCAAGGCATATTGCACGGGTTTGAGAAGTTTCTCATGCAGGATAAAGCTCACCCGCGACCCTAAGATGAAAGATTGCCAACTGCTTCGTGCACACCCGATTTTCTCTTGCGAGCCTGCTTGCTGAGCCGGCACACGATTTCCATAGCTGCAACAATCTATACGAGTTTCAAAACACGTTGGCAAAGCCGTTGAGGATAACTTAGATTCGTTTGCGTTTGTTGATGCAGACATTCCCATTGTTGCTCCTGCCACGGATGTTGCAGTCGTAGACCTTGCGTGCGGCCAGGGTAAAGACGAAGCGACGTTGAAGAGGCTCATCAGGAAATTTCCACGACTGCAGAGGCGCGAAACATCCTACAGCTGCTTCAAAACAAATTGGAGCGTGGCTGCGGTGACAGTGTTCTTACGAGGGTCCGCATCATTTTCATCCAAACTCGTTTTGTGAAATTATACGTTTCGTGGACAACTTTTCATGGACACACGTTTTGTCGACATGATCGTTTCGTCGACACTCGTTAAACGAATTGCACGCTGTATGGACATTTCGTCGCACAAGTATCACTGAAGTGCGCAGTAATGCACACTTCAGTGGTACCCGCGTGACCTTTGCCTTTCCTGGCCTGTGCATACTCTTGCTTTTGTGAAGATCCTAGCTGGTAAAGTTGGACTGCAGGGTTCTCTCCAGAAATTCTTGAGATCTGGACACTGACAACTTTCAGGGTGTTGGGGGAAACAGGAGGAGGCGATTGCTGCAACTTTTGGTGTTCTCAGCACTATCTCTGCCGCACAGCAGGGATTTTGTTTGCAGGAATTATGCAGTTTTGTTGCATAGTGCTACACGAGTCTGCCACACACAACAATCTGGGCGTCATGCCTTTTAAGAATCAGAATCCTTTTTTCCAGCAGGCGCAAAATAAAGAGGTGGGTTGGATTTAATAAGGGTGGACAGTAAGCCAGACTGGTGGGCTCACTGTGGGGAGAACCCTGAGTTCGAGGCCCATTCCACTGTGGCTATTGTATCAGGTGCTGTTTGGGGCTGGAACCTTCTAAAGCCCCATTTGGGCTCGAGTGTGCCGTGTTCTTTGTGCACCAGAAGAACTTTGGGATGCTTGCGTTCTCAGGAGCGACAGATTCCGGGCAAGCTGTTGGAGCTGTTCATGGCACCATACATGTCACTGCCCCTGAAGCTTCATATACTGCGAGCATTGGATGCGGCCACCTACACACGAGCAGGCATGCAGGAGCTTTTTGCGACCAAGATGCTAGCACCTCCAGAGGCCAACGTGCAGATCGACCTCTCTCTGATTGCCGAGCCGCTTGGTAAGCCTTTCCTTATAAAACTGTATTTGGGTGAACAAAAAGCTGTAAGACTGCACTCTTTTCTATGACCCTTGGTATGAACAGCCAGTCTTATGAATAACCTGGTACAGTTACCGAGCCAGGGGGCAGTACTGTTCAAACTTAACTCTACAGCCTCTCCTGGGTTTGAGTCTCAAAGTGTATAGGTATTATAGCCCTCAGTATCCAAATGAAATTTTAGAAGGCAGAATGCTTTATGAGGGAACAAAGAGGTCAGTGTGGCAGATACTTGGTGCTCACTCTCAGTTCATGGATAAAGATTTTTAAGTTTTAACACTTTGCTTTTGGTCTGGTGGGCTCAGATTTTCTAGGTGAAGCCATTTGTCTCATGTCAGATTGGTTGGCACAACTCTCGTGAAAGAAAACATGCATCATTGAGTGACCAGCATGTTCATGGCAGGGGTCAGCAGTGAACTGTGATGAACCAGTTTCTGGTACTAATTTGAGGGCGAAATGGGTCATCCAGTCTACACTGCACATTTCCAGTGGAAACATGGGCCCTTTGAGGTCATATGTTCGTATGTTTAACTATGCATCATATATTTGAGGGAACAAGGGCTTCCATTTTTTAATTATATAAGAATGGTCATCATTCCTTGTGCACCATAAAGCTCTCATACATTATCATTTCTTGAATTAAAGATATAAACAAAACTAATAAAATGGAGAGCTGAGCTTTCAAACTTATAATTTTTCACCCACTTAGATGAACTCTATGAGAGCAAAAAATCCGAGATGTTGACTGGCTACCAAGTTTTGCTGAAGCTGTTGTTCCTGAAGCAGGTGTGTGTTTTATCGTCCTTTCTGCTTTTCTGGCGACTTTGAGTCAAGCTTGACAAGCATGTGTGACCTTTTCCAGTCAACAAGGGCTACCGTTGCCCTGACAGCGCTCCTGAAGAAGTTGCACCTCTATGACCTCTTGTGCATGCTTCACACGTCCGTGGACAAGTAAGCTTTCCCATAATTTGATTGCTTTTGGCTCTGGTTGTACGTTGGTTCCTGAGTGCAAATGGCTTCTTCTAGTGACTTTTACTAAATATTCCTGTGTGCCTTGAACACACATTTTACATACGCTTCTGATGCTAATTAATGTTGTTAATGTGCAGAAAATTGCACTCTGTGAGAAAAGTGTGCACAACCTTTAATCAAAATTCTTCATACTGTGGCTTTGTAATGGCACAGATGAAGCAAGTGTTTTGTTTGCCGACTGTAGCACATTCTTTTCTGTTTTAATATTGCCTTGCAAGTTTAAAGCATTGAAGCATTTTGTAGCTGATTCAAGGACAGACCCTCTGCATGGTGTCTAACAAAACCTCGTAAAGGCTGATTGGGGGGTGCTAGCAAATAAGCCCCAAAATGACAACCAATATTCTTGCCGAGGGACTGCTTCTTCGAGACCCAAGAGAAGTCGAGCGTTTTGTTTTTTTTGTCCTTCATCATTTCAAAGCTCCCCCATCATTTGTTAAGTGACATGAGAGCATGTTGTGACCTTGTGAAACTGCGGATGCAGAATTGTACAAGACACAGATCTGCGTGAGGTCAAGGAGAAGGATGAAGAGGGCACGGAGCGGACAAGGCTAGAAGTTGAGACGGGTCAAGCGGCACACTGCACTTCTGAGGACCTGGACAAAGCTGCCGTCTGCCTGGACTTGCTGTGTCGCACCTACCGCAAGGCGCACAAGGAAGTGGTGGGTACTCTTCCAGATGGCATTGTTGCAGCCTGATTGCAGGAGGGTCTTTTTCCCAAGCAGCCAAGTGATGCTTTGTTCATTGTTAAAAGAAGAAATGTACGGTACTGTTGTACTATCATGCACTCAGCTGGCTCTAACATTGGCAAGCATTGTGGCTTGTTCATGTCTAGCAGACAACGAAGTGGGGTGTGATCACAAACTGGTAGAGCAATCAGTCTCCGAGCGGAATCACAAAGTGTGATTCCTCAGAGAGCATGTGGCACTGGAAGTACAGAATGGCCCCAGCCCCACCATGTATACACCAGCTCACGTTTACAAACAAACCTGAGCACCCCTAATGCCACCGGCACTGCACATGCGCTATGGGGTGTGGGCAAGAAGTGCCGTGTCTTGCATCAACAAACCATTGGAATGTGATGTTGTCAGCGTCTGTGTGAGTCCCTGTGGTCTTTTTTGCGTAGGAACTGTTGATTCTATGTCTTTCTAGCAATGTCTTACCACTTTAGTGGCCTGAGCGAGATTAACAAGGCTTGTTACTCCGCAAAACTTTGCGTAACTAATGTGACGTGCGGCAATTCATTCGTGTGAACACCGCAAAATGAACGTTAAAGCCCAATTTATATGATGAGATTCAGCTTGCTATTTTCAGTCGCGATGTCGCTTGTGCTACAAAAGCGTGTACAGTAACTGCGATGCTCGACGTCGATACTGAAAATCAGAGTCAGAATCGGACCAAGTGAATCGGGCATAACAAGTGGGCGATGGCCACTGGTAACTATGATTAACATCTTCTTGTATCTACTGTTTACACCGAGCCTACTTACCCGAAACAACCTTCAAACTTAAAAGTCTTTTGAGGCCGGCTCTTTCTTGTTGCAACGTTTGGTCTACTGGCCGCTGTCATTTGAATAAGCAGACAACAGTTTGAACGAGTTTGATAGAGCAGATGACAGTTTGAAGGATCAGATGGTCTTTGAACGTGAAGACTCACTGGTCTGTGGGTGTTCCGGAAAACTTTACGCTCTTACCGGGTTCATGTTGGAACAAATAAAAAAAATCTGACGACCAGAAATATCCGTAAATTCAACCCAAAGTGCTTGGCGCTCAAGCAATCATGGTCCGACGGTGTCTGGCGTCCCTTTTCACGGCACCTTTCTACGTTCTCGGACGAACCAAGCAGGCAGAAAACATGTGAGAACTGATCTTGACAACTTTCCCGGCTCTTTTGATGCAGCCCCAGTGGCGGTGTTTTGACGAGAAGGCAGGTTTTAGTCTAGTTTCTTCCCAAAAAAAAAACAGGAATGTCCGTCCCGCATGGCGACTTCCGCCCAAAGCCCCATACCGGAAGTGCACCCGACATGCCACCTCCGTGGCGTGACGGAACAGAGTTTAGTTGGTGTATAGCCAGCTGTGTCTATGGTAGTAAATAATTTTGAGATGCTAATTGTGATTGATTATTTCTGGAATGGGTATTGATTCTTTGTGGAATGAGTATATGATTAAGTCTGCCCTTATTTTACCAACAACTTAAGTCACCTAACACATTTGCATTGTGGAACATATTCGGTTAAAATGAGACGGTCATTCTACTCCAAAAATGTTCTTTTGATATTTCATCAGCAAATGAAGTCACTTCTAGCTTTTGTATGGTAATGTAGGTGGTACAATGCTGATGCCATTTGCCTAATCAGGTTTCTTGGTGCATGCCTTGGGATTTTTTAAGGGAATTTAGTATCATATAACTTTAGGTTTTTCTTGGTTTTTGTTGGGTAATAACTTGGCATGGCCCAATAGTTTGAGCAAGGTCTTTCTCTTTTTCTCTTTCCGCAAATGAGGCCCAGCCCCTGCGGTACCTGCCAGCACAGAGCCGCTTTGAAGCGCCCCAGACACCCTTTGACCCTTACCCGGCACTCTTCCGCATGTTCAAGGAAAAGTGAGTGAGATCAGCTGCAAGATGGCATGGCTAAGAAAATTAACCAGATGTTGCAAGAAGCTAAATAATATGAGCGAAAACTGTATAGAGACCTTGGTAAAATGCTTCCCAGATGTTGGAATTAAATATCCCGCTTCACAAGGGTCCCTAAAAGTAGGCCTGAAGCCACCTGTTGACAGTTGGAGACAGTTCCCACCCGCAAAACTGCTAGAATAAATGTAAAAATTTAAATGTATAATTGGTTGTCGAAAAAGATGGGCCTTTTTAGTCCTCAATGCCAAAAAGCAGGAAGGACACTGGTGATCGAAAAATGTCCACTGCGTCACACTGTCAGTGCGAACACGAGGTCAGTGCTTTTTCACATCTTATCTTGAAAGGCATCAAGTTTTACCACTGAATTTAGTGCCCCAAAGTGAGTACCTCCCTCCAGGCTACCAATGTTTGATGACAAACTTTTAATCCTAAGAGGAAAAAAAAAGAAATAGCAATCGCTTGTTTACATTAACACTGTCACACTCTGTACTTAAACATGAGTTATCAAACTAGCTCCATGAACCCAGGGGTTCTACAAGCTCTCAACTTACCGAGGGTGTTTTTGCCGTTTTTGCCCTTAAGTATAGGTTTTTTATTCCCAGTTTAAGCACTATTTTAGAAGATTTGCAGCATGCAGCGCGAAACATAGCTATGTTCAAAACACTCACCATTATGTTCACTATTGTTTACAAGGTCTCTAGGCTTCTGCAGTGCTTTATTGCATCAATGCTGGGACCGGGAGGGTTTCCTCAGTACTAATCAGTGAAGAGCAAAACGCATTCCAGCTTAGTGCGTGAACTTTTACGAGCAACTGGTTCCGAGCTTCGAGTCTTTTCTGCTATTCTTCCTGGAAATCTCTGGCTTGATGGCTGGGTGGTGTGCTTTATTTTTGTCAGCCATCTTCTGGAGATGATGAGTCTTCTGGCCTCCTCTCCTGTGTCCTCCTCGCACACGGGCGTCGCTTTTGCGCTGCGGGAATTCCTGGCAGTGCTCCTGAAGACGCGTCCTGGAATGCTGTTTTTCCTTTCGGACCACGAAGCAGCCAACTGCCTTCATCGTGCCTTACTTCAGGTACGGCACTCTTGTGGGCTCGGACGCATGCCATGCCTCAAATGGGTTCCTTTTCAAGGATTTGAGAGAGATGCCAGCATAGGTGAAATTTCGGTTCCACTTTACTGGTCTAAATTAATCCTCAGGGCTTCTCTGAAGCATGCCTAGTGCACCTCGTTAGTTTAGCATGTAAACCCCAACTTCATTTTGTTACTGGCTGAAAATGATAAAAAACGACGCGGTAGGCTACCACCAAGTTCTTCAAAGGACTGCGCTTGACCCGCGGGACTGAATTTGCGTTACATTGTTGCGCTTGTCTCAGTGATGTGATTTCTGCGTTAATTGCACCAAACTGCGCCAAGGGGCTAACCCTGCTACATCCTGCTACATTTTGTGAAAATATGAGTAATTTGCGCCAAGCTTGCGCCAAAGGACAAATTTCGGCCGCCTTTCAAAACCGAAACTAAACTGAGAACCATAATTGAGCATGCGCGAGCTAGGTGGTGCAAGCGGCTGCCCGACACAAAGTACCCTGCATCAATCGTCCCTCCGGTCTTGCATGGTTTTTCCCGCCGTCTCGCGTTTCGCGCTCTCGTCGTCTGGGGAATTTCGTCTCACGTAAGGAGTTTAGAAGTACTAGGAGGGGGCACGTTGCAATATTAGTGAAGCCTAGTCATAAAAAGTTTAAACGATACTGTGCCCAGCGTGACCACAGTTTTCTCTGGCGATTGGTGTGCGTGACATGTCACGTGCGAGATGGATGGTTGATTGTAGGAGGATTCCTTGCAGGCTTGCACACGCTCCGTCCGGTGGATTTTATCAGATCGAAGGCTAGACGAAGGCTAGCTGCAGTCACGTGATGTGTCATGTAGGGCTGATAAGGGAGGAGAGTAAGTAAGGAGGAAAATGGAGAAAGGCGAGGTGTCAAGGGAGCATGGCTTGTGGAGGCTACGCGGCTGACATCATGCCCTCTCCTACCCTTCTATTCTCCATGTTCTCACGTCTTTTTAAAATTTTTCAACGATAGACGCGGGCGTCTGTGACACACCGATGCTAGTGTGCCGGGTGCCAGCTGTGCCGTCATGTTATGAAACAGAACCACGTTTTTGTGAGCTGAAGCCCTCACGCGCTTCAGCTCACAAAGCAATGTAGTTGCGCGACGTCGGGTGTTGCCGTCTTACCGTCGCTGCAGATAAGGCGCTTTCTAAACTTGTTCATCGACATTCCTGCCCTTGTTTAAATCATACGCTAGTACAAAAATCTTTTTTTAACTCGGACTGCTGTGTCGAAGTATTGATTACCTAGGTTTCTCTCAGCTTTTTTTCGAGAGGGACCCCGGTACGTGAGCTAAAGCAAAGAAGGCAATGTCTGCATGCTGAACCTGCAAATCGCGCTTGTTTGTTTCGAGTTCGGTCGTTGCACATTGCGCTCCAAGAACTTTTTGACCCTGGCTCGCCGTGTCATGCATCGATGCGCTCAGGTCAGTGGCGTCGGAACAGGGGGGGCAGGGGGGGCGACCGCCCCCCCAGAGATTTTTTAGTAATGGCGGCTCGCGAGCTCGATATTTCGCAAATTTCTCAGAGTGCGATTTTTAAGATATTTCGTGGGCATGAATTTCTCGCATTACGAGTGGCATGATGATATTCATCATCATGGGATTAGTTATTCGAGGGCTCAATTGGTCTCAACTGCGCCATCACAATATTTGGACCATGCGAAGAACTTGCAACATCGCTGCAGAAGCCAGATACTTCTGTGGGAGGAGCGCTGAGGGCGACGGAGGTCCTAGAAGCACACTTGACAAGGCAAAGAAAGGAGAGTGGTTTCCAAGAAGTGTACGAACGTACAGAGGGGGCAGCAAAGAAGCATAAGCTAAAGGCCCCTTCAAACGACCACGCGATGCGGTCCTCCAAGAAGGTTCGAACACAGCAGCGAGCCCTGTCAACCAGTGTTTCTAGACGCGGAGACAGGCCTTCGGAAGCAGTTGTACGAAGCGTTAGATTGTGTTCGCGCCGAGCTTGCAAGACGATTCAAACAACCATGGCATGCAAAGTCTCGCACAACTAGAGCAAATAATTTTGTGCGCTATTCAAGAGAAGCCACAAACTGCAGAAGAACTTGAAAGGAAGTTAGGATCCCACGCTACTGATTTTCACTTGGAAAGTTTTTCAAGGCAGCTGAACATGGTTCACTCGCTCTCAAGTGGTCAGATCGGCTCCGTACCCGAGTTGTGCCGTGCTCTGGGCAGACAAGTCCCAGAGGTCAAGAGGATGATGACTGATGTGATGCGCCTTGCGGCACTTATAATGACAGTGCCAGCGTCAGCGGCATCAGCTGAACGAAGTTTCAGCGCACTTCGGCGTATCAAGAATTACCTCAGAGCTACCATGTCACGAAAGCGACTGACTCAGGTGATGCTGCTGCACGTAAATAGTGAGCGAGCAGCAAAACTTGATCTGAACTCTATGATCAGAGAGTTTGTGTCGAGGACGGCTGAACGACGAACCGTTTTCGGGCACCAGTGAGCTCTTTCTTATTTCACGCTGTTTGAAGACGTCAACATGGGAGAAAAACAAGATCACCACATTCCAAAAGAGGAAGGACATATATTCGTTCTAAATAAACGTTTGTGAGCGTTTCGGTTTTATATATCCATATTGCTCTAGATGCTTCACCCCCCCCCCCCCCCCCCCCCCCCCCACCCCACCCCACCCCAATTCCGTTGCCCCCCCCACCTCAGAAATACTTCCGACGCCACTGGCTCAGGTTCTTTTTTTCTGTGTGTTTAGCTTGTACCTCACCTGCCGGCCTGGCAAGCACGCGCCACTGGATTGTTTTTAGTCGTATGCTGGACAATCACATTTTGCATACCATTTTGGGAACCAGTTGGCGACAGAGCGGAGTGGCATTGTTTCGGTTTCGATTGAACAGCCGTTGTCTCTGCTCGCATGCCGAAGCACGTACAACTGCAATCCTACTGATTGCACGACAAAGGCCCCAGCCGGGACGCTTTCAATCCATTGTTTTCCGTTTGCTTACTTTTGACAAACATCTGGCACGTCGGGAACCAATAAAACAATGGCAAGCATTTTTTTTTCTTTTTCGGAATTGCTCGGCAACATTTACAGCACTGTGCATTTGTGGGATGTCTCAGCAGTAAAAACACAAGCAGTGAGTTCCGTCACAGCACGTTACAAAATGCTCTTCGTTTGTCCAGCACTGAAAACAAATATATTAGGGGCGAAGCTCCTTAGGGTCTAGCCCTGTCCGTCCGTCCGTCCGTCCGGCCGGCGTCCATGCTCACATAAAAATTAAAAATATTTGCGCTGTCGACAGGATTCGAACCTGTGCGGGGAGACCCCAATGGATTTCTAGTCCATCGCCTTAACCACTCGGCCACGACTGCAGGACGAGTAGGGTGCTCTGAGATGTGGTAGTAACTCAAGAGCTGGGGTTTGTGTCATGAATGAAACGTTGCATGTAGCCGATCAACGTCTATACAGGAGAGGGCGCTGCGGTCGAATGCGTATATAATCGCGTCAAACTTTGCATGCATTGGCTCAACGTTTACAGACTAGAGGGCACTGCGGTCAAATGCTCAAATGCATATATAACTACATTCCATACCACACATTCTCTTTCTGACATGGACCGTTGACTTAAGTGGTGGAGATGCGTTCCCATGGCTGGTTCTGCATTTCACCGACCATAAAGCAGTAATAATGAAGTCGAAACGCAACCCGGAACTCAGCACTACCTATGAGCAATAAAAAAAAATTGGCATCATCGGCACTACGTATGAACAATAAAATCGGTATCATCAGCACCACCAGAGCTTCGCCCCAATCAACATCATTCACCACGTAAAGATGCGGTAATTTTTTTTTTCCTAAGAATATTTGCTTCAAAAGCCACTTTTGCTGGTGCAAGACAGTGTCTTGGCTGCTCCAAAGGGCAATTTTGCTGCTCCAAAAGCCAATCTTGCTGCTCCAAAAGGTGCTCCAAAATGGCTTAGGCCAATCACATCACTGTTGCCTTTCATTGGCTTCTGCTACTACTTTTGAGCATCGAGCATTTCTGGGGGCGTAGAGGAGGTTGACCAAAAATGGCCTCACTTCATTTCTAGGAGGAGTCTGGTCCAGTTGGCATGGAGGACAGTGTGTACCATCAAGTGGGTGTGCATCTGGTGTATCACCTGCAGACACTGCAGCATGTGGATTCCCTCTTGGCCTACCACAGCAAAGGTCTGGCTCTGTTGTCAGCTTCCCTTGTGTTGTGGTTCAGCCATTAGTGAGGGACTGCCCAAAAAAGAGGCCGCTGCAGTTTATATGGACCAGAAACATCTGTTGACTTTAATTACAGTGTGGTAGTTTAGGCTTCTATTTCTGTTTTGCTTTGAATGCAATGGAATAGAAAAAAAAAAATGCAATTGAGCAAGTTCAAGAAGCTACAGTATTTCCACGACCAATATGCCTAATACGTGTTTTCTAGAGATTGCAGTTGTACTGTCTACCTGGGGAGTCGGGTATATCGGCTTCACAAACAATTTTCGACGAGAACTCTCATGCTGGACTTTCTTTTAATGCGATTAGTAGATTAGTGGAACAATTTTTATACAAACAGTTTGGGCAGAGGCCGAATGCATATGTTTAAAAAGAGTGTAACTCTAGGTGGCTGACTTCATAGTGACTGTCACTATGAAGTCAGCAGTATCAGAAAAAGACGTGCGGTTAGTCTTGAGGTGCCATTTCAGTCTCGTCATGTGCATTGCCAGGGATGGGGGGTACTGTACTGTGGCTCACGAGATGGGGTGCGGCTCTGGTGTGCAGGGGGAGTGAAGAGGGAGCTGGACGACGCGGAGGTGGTGACGTGTCTGCACGACCTGTACACGGTGCTCTTCTCGGACGTTGGGCGGGCTGCCGTGGTGGACGTCTTGGCCATGCACGACAACTTGGACGCGCTGGTGCCCTTCCTTCGACTCACGGGTGAGCTCTACCGCTGAGGGTTGTCACAAATCTTGGAGCCCTGAAGTCATTGAATCGGCAAAAGTAGTGTTGCCAGTCATCTATTTCACTGGGTTCTGTAACAAGCTGCAACTATAAAGGCCATGATGGCTGGGAACTTGAGCAACAGATATGTAGCTGTAATCTTTCAAATGCTGGGCACGTGGGACATGCATGGTGTTCTATGCCACTATCGGTGTAGAATGGCTGTGTGCCTTGGTGTCCACAGGTTTCTGGAAAACCTAGCAATTAAAATGTTTTAGACAGTCTTTAGGGCTTCTAAAGTGCCAGTTAGGTGACCCCAGACCGAGGACCGCAAAAGTACTGCGTACAGGCCGAGGTCCTGAGGTCTTGAAATGACTGGATCTCTCAATTCTATACACCTTTCCAAAAAACACTCCTAGGCCGCCGCCATGTTTTTGATGCTGATGTGGGTGGTGCGACTCTCGGGCCCCCTACCAGCTAGAAATTTCCTGGCACTCTCTTGGACTGTGGAAACCCGCTCAGCGTGATTCTCTAGCCATGTCTTGTGGTTTTGGATTCAACATTTTCTGGCCCTTCTTAAAAGTTTCCTTTTAACTTTTCTGATGCATGCTGCATACCCTTTCTGAGAAATAGGGCTGGTAAGTGCCTGGCCATTGAGGCGTCTCTGCTCGACATTCACAGGAAACGAAGGAGGGGAAGGACGTCAAACGGCCCTCGACGCGATTTTGCGAACAGAGATAATCCACGTAGAGTCCTTCTCAGTCATAGCCAAAAATAGTTGTTCGAGTTGGAGTCAATCGTGCCCGTTCTTTTGCTTTGGTGCTGGTATGAAAAAAGAAAGCTCTCCCCAAAACGTGCCCCAAAACCAAATTATCTTGGATTCCCTCCGATCGTCAAGATGTGACTGTCGTCGACTGTGACTGTGTTATTTGATATCTTTATCAAAGAAATTCTTTTCAGATAACGCTGAATCGTGTGGTACATACAATATATAGTTTGAATGTTAACACTTGCTCAATTGTATGTCCGTGTCGATTCCATCGGTAAACACGTTAGTTGTGAGCGTGAAAAATCCGTGCCTTTCGGCTATCTTCTGTTGTAAATTATTTTTGATAGCTAAGGGCTTTGTCGTTTGACACGCGGCTAATCAAGCGACGCCGTCAAAGCATATTGGAAAAAGAACCAACATAACATTCCAGTCGCATTCGTTCTGTCGCACATGTACCCAACAAAAGTAGTTCACAGATTTTTTTTTTTTAATGTGGTACAGTGTTTTTTTAATGTCCTCAGGAAAATACATACACCATGCAACACAAAATACAGCGGGAAAAGACGAGAATTTAGCCGCCAGCAGTGTTTGAAACTGCGCCTACGCAGGTTGCACCTATAGAAATCACAGTCCACTCGGTTAGGGTTAGCAGGGACGCCGGTGGGAGTCTAGCATCAAACCCAGTGACTGGGCTCAAAAGCAGTTTGTTGCCCCTGGGGTCGAGTGTTTCTTGGAAAGGTGTATTGAGGCAATTGGTTGAGGCATGCAAAGCGGCATTCAGCTGCTGTCACTATAGCACTCATTGTATCGGTCTGCTGTAAAGCAGCAGAACCGCTGTCGGGTATCGGCATTCAGCGTCCGTGAATGTGTTAAAGGCTCCGTGACAAAATAAAACTGAGTGGATATATGTAGTATAACAGCAGGTGCCAAAATGGTGGATGTTGGTGCTATTTTTTTTCATTAAGTGATTTTATGATTTACAATGTATCAAAGTAGACCACGTATTTGGTGTGTGGTAGACTAATTTTGAGATTAAAGGAAAAAATTAAAAAAAATGAAGCCTGGATACTTGCATTCGAGACGAGCATCAATTAATGAATCGGTCAATCAACATTTATTTTAGTTTGGATACACAAGCTGAGGGTGGTAAGTAAAAGTAGCGTTACCCACTGCTTGACAGGCCTTGCCACCTTTACATGTTTGATATTTTGACACCTCCCACAATTTGTTTTTTAGTTTTTTCATGCAATTTAATATGGGTGTCAAGAGACTACCCAATCAATAGCTTGCTTAAGATTCCTATATCTTTCTATTGAATTAAAAAAAAGAAAAAAACTGAACCGCTCGAAATTGAGACACGAGCATGGAAGCTACTGGCCTGGAAATCACGTGAATACATGCGACCACATTTTCTTTTCCTCCGCTTCTTTGGCCTTTGATGCAGACAACGACGACGACTTTGCATGAACTGTTTGTCGTGCGATTGTTTCACACTTATATCCCTTCTGCTCAATATTTTGCGCTTGGAGATCGATTGGCTGGTACTACGAACGACCGTTCCAAAGTAGCGGCCCCACATACGTCGCGATATTGAGAATGACGTGTGCATGTACTTCCAGTGATCTGTGCAACATTTTTTTTTTTTTTTTTTATTATATTTGCAGCTTTTTGGAGGCCGCAAAATATGGGGCTCATATTCTTTTCTATTTTTAATATTGAATGTGTGTCTTAGATGACCCATGACTTTGAATATATTTGGTACACTTAGGTAGTTTGAACGCCTCGTGACCATGGAAACGGAAGTGAACGCGGCTGAAACTGGCCAGTTCTCGACCGGCTATTTTCGGGCAAAAAGAAAACGAATTTCGAGTCGCAAATTGTGTTTTGGGTAGTTGGGCTCTTAGAGGCCATGTTCAAATCAAAACCTCGGCGAGCACAAATACTCTGTCAGTGTCTCTTTAATGTGTGTTTCTGGCTATGTTTAATTAGTACAGTCTAAGCTCATTATAACATACCTTAATTTTTACCAAGATTTTGGTCTGTTGTAAAAGGAGTATGTTGTATGCAGATATGAAGTTGAGTCAGTGGTACATAGAGGATAACCAACCAAACTTCATAAATTGGTATGTTATATCCAGATGTCTGTTGCAACCAGGTCTGTTGTAATGAGCTTAGACTGTAGCTGCTTTTGTGTCATGCTTGGATGCAGGTGACATGGACTTCGACACACGACTGTGCAAGTCGGTGTGTGCTGGCTATGCCACTGAGTTGCTGCTGCTGACAGTGCACAACTCTGACAGTGCCCACCTGCTGAAGAACTACTCGGACGTCCTCTATCAACTCAGCCAGCAGGGTGAGTGGGCAGCGTTAGTAAGCACACTGTTCTGAAAAAGTATAGGAACTGGTAGGTAGGATCATTAGCAACCTGGCGTGCCATAAGTTGAGCGAACCGACGTTACTAACTTCTGAAGCCTCGGCAAACGGCACCTAAATTCCCCTGTCTTATGGAGCGAAGCCTGTAGGCTGTAGCAGCGAATTGATAAACAACCTCCCATTGGCTCGCATGTGGCATCGTGTGGGGTGGCGTGCCCCACACTCCATGGCGCTGCAGCCCGCATAGAGAGTAGCAGAAACGGCCAAGGTGCCGAGAGGATCAGAAGCGGCCACGGCGCGAAGAACGAGCTTTATGCTTTCGCATTCACAACTCGTAAGAAGTGCTTAGGTGTCCTCGGAATTTTCGCTTACTCCAAATGTTTCCAAGATGTCTATGATATCTTGGAAACATTGTCAGTCACATTTCTGCGCATCATTTTGCTCAAAATGTTGGTAGTACACACTATACTAGTGAATTCTCCAAGAATGGGAGTTTTGGACCACACACAGTCTCCACCACTTCCATCACTGATTACCCAACTGTACTTTTTTTACATCTTCATATGTAAGGTAGAGTTGCAATCTTTCTGATTGCATGTGCCATTTTTCGTAACCGTCCCTTTTTCACATGCTTAACCGGCACCTAGCAAAGACAAGATAGGTTTGGAATTGCTCTTGTGCAGAAATGACGCCGCGGTTGCAAGAGCTGTCGGCATGGATAGAGCCCACACGGAAGCTGCCTTCCTACACGCACGAGTCGGTCACCTTCCTCATGGGCTGCGTGAAGAAAGCCGCCGAAACAGCCGCTTTGCTGCCGCCAGAACTGGTCACTGCTCTGCGCATTCTGCGTCACCTTGGACTCCCCCCCAGGGACTTCCGATCCGGAGAATCAGGTCTAACCTCTCTTGAAATCTCGCTATACTTTGTTTCACCGTAACTTGGCAAAAAGCAGATGCTACGGCACCCTCGAGCTAATCACAGTGACCGAGGCAAAGCATTGACAGCCCTTACCAAAGGTGCATGGGCAAGAGTGTAACCCAAGCCCCAAGCAGTTGGAGAAGAGGAACTCCCCTCTCCTAGTCAGTGTTTTTCTCCCCCTAAAAGATTAGCCTGTCACTCAAAATTCATACAAGATCAGCTTTTCTCTCCTTCCCGTGGCTTTGACGGCGCCGCATGTAACTTTAGTCGGTGACCGGTTGAGTTTGGGGGAAGCTCCTTTCGCCTCTTTCCACTCTAGGAGAGTGAATGCTGGAGAGGAGGCAACTTCCTCTCCAGAGTTCACTCTGCTAAAGTGGAAAGAGGTGGGAGGAGCTTTCCCTCAACTCTTAACCTGTCATCAACTGTAGTGATATAGAGCAGAGTAACATGTCTCCCTTCGACATGCTGATTGATCAGTGGAACCATTGCCTTTGCCGTTTGCCGACTTGCGGTGAGACGGGGTACAGAAAGGGGCATTGTTTAGCCTCAAGCTTCTGGGTCTTTCTCGGTCTGTGGAAGAGAGCTCGCTGATTGACCCCTTGTGGTCATAGTGATGCAAGCTAAGTCTGCCAAGCTGTTAGATTTTGGTAGTGTTTTAGGGGCGTAGCTGCTTAGGGTCTAGCCTTGTCCATCCGTCCGTCCGGACGGCATCCGTGCTCACATAAAAAGAAAAAATGTTTACGCAGTTGACAGGATCCGAACCTGTGCGGGGAGACCCCAGTGGACTTCTAGTCCATCGCCTTAACCAGTCGGCCACGACTGCCGGACGAGTAGGGGGCTCTGAGATGTGGTAGTAACTCAGGAGCTGGGGATGTCACGGATGAAACGTTGCATGTAGCCGCTCAACGTCTATACAGGAGAGGGCGCTGCGGTCAAATGCGCATATAGGTAATAGTGTTAAACTTTGCATGCATTAGCTCAACGTTTATAGACGAGAGGGCGCTGCGGTCAAATGCTCAAATGCGTATATATAACCACGTTCCATACCACAAATTCTCTTTCTGACATGGATGAAAACGAACGAAAAGCTTGGCATGCTGCGGCTCGGCGTCTACGCAGACAAGCACCACCTGAGCTTCGCCCCAATCAACATCATTCACCACGTGGAGATGCGGTCAATTTTTTTTAAGCCAGCCTCACAGAGAGTGGTTGTTAAAGAATGAGACCATTTGTCTCGGAGACTTTAGAACTTGGGTTGGATTTGGCTGTCTCCTAGGAACACTCCCTCTAAATAGGTAGGCCTAAGAAATTGACTGTGCATGTGAAGTGAGTAAGAATTTTCTAAGCTTGCTGAGATGAAGTTTTAAGTGAGTTTTACTTCACCAGGCAGGGCCGCTGTGCAGTAAATTGGTTGAAGCACTTCATATCCATCCTACTTAGTACGCCAAAAGCGATCAGGAAATATTTTTCTTGAGTTCTGATTTCGGAACTCTTTATTTAATTTGCTGTACCTTCCACTCATTGCATGCGTGCCTGCATCACTATCCACAAGGCATTACTAAATGTAAGCTTTTTACAACAGATCTGGTTATGGTAGACATTCGGATATAAAAGTTTAATGTGACGGTTTTGGTTAGCTCTTTGTTTTGCTATTAAAGGCCAACCTGTGAGGAGAGAGAGAACACCCCCACTCTTTTCTCACCAGTTTTTCTGTAATAGGAAAAGATAGTTTCCCCTCTTTTTCTCCGCCTATTACCGAGCTCATTTACTGTCAGCGTGAACATAGAAATTTTCTGAAAGCTTTAGTGTTTTCTGTTACAGCAATCATTTATAGTTGTTGTGGTAGTCTCATTTAGCAGGTTCATAAACTTGTGCCCCTTTCCTTATGCTAATGAACTTTTTGCTGCTGGAGGGTAACGTTCCTCAAGCACCAGAGCATTCCTTACGAACAAAGCTTAACTCTTGCATGTTGAATGTAAAGATGATGACTGGTGATATTGACCGAGGATTGATGCAGACTGGCATGGTTGAACCATAAGAGCAGGAGGGCTTTGTCCCTAACTGTATACAAACAGCATTGTCAAGATGAATAAAGGCCATGGATGCTGAGTGGCCTTTTCACACGAGCAATAGATGCCATATATAATCAAACTACAGTTGAACCTTGATTTAACGAAGCCCAATTTTACAAACTTTCTGTTTTAACGTACAAATTCGGATACCCTGCGCAGCCTATGCGCTTGGTCCCTTCCTCGATTTTACGAAGTTCCTGATCTAACAAAGTAATTAGCGGGTCCCGGTGACTTTGTCAAATCGAGGTTCAACTGTATAATAAAACCTCTGCATGTAACGCTCCTGTATGTAGTAGTGTCGCGAATCGAAAGAGTTTTGATGAGTGTACACTGAAAAAAAAGGTTTAATTGGCAAACTTGTGCCAGATTAAACAAACAACCAATTGGAGTGGATGAAGATAACTACAGACCGTCGGGGGCTGGTGTCGGAGTCGGCGGAAACAAAGAGTCGAACTTTGGCAAAAAAGTGTGTCGTCATTGGGAAAGTGAATTAGTCGGCGGAAACAAAGAGTTGAACTTTGGCGAAAAAGTGTGTCGTCATTGGGAAAGTGAATTAGTCGGCAAAGCCGTGCTTCGCTTTTTATCTACTACACTGGGTATTTAGAATATTCAACCTTGAATGTTTGGGAGTGAGCTAGGGTGATTGACTATTAAGAGTTCAGGAGAAACTTCTCCCACCTTTTTCCACTCCAGCAATGCAAACACCGGAGAGAAGGTCGCCTTCTTTCCAGCATTCGCTCTGCCAAAGTGGAAAGGGGGATGAGCTTTCCCGGAACTCTTAACCTGTCACCTACTATAGGGAGTATTCACTGGCGGCCATGTCCGTGTGCGCTGCTGCTGAGCGCGTGCTGACGGCGAGCTTCTGCAGTCCTTTTGGAGCGTGCATTTAGCACCATGAAGATTGCCGGTCTTAGCAGGCTATTAATGTGAGCTCGTTCTGAGCATGCGCTCTAAACATCGCCCTCAAATATGGCATCCAGTGAATACCTCCTATAGGCAAGGTCATTCTGGCCTCTTCATCTTTTACACTCGGGGTAAGAATAAACACAAATTTTCTAGATGTACGAATAAGCATTCCTTCTCGGTCAGGCACGTGGCAGTATAGTCAAAATCAAAGGATATTCTCTAGTCCTGAGCATTCTGCATATAGTACTTGCAACAGACCAAGATCATGCTCACCACTGGGACAGCTACAATGATTTTGGTGTGGAACACTTCCCATGCTGCGACAAGGGGACAGATATCTAAACTTTCCCTTGCCCTGCTGTCCTGTGTTCTTGTGCTGCATGCTCTTTCTTCGATGTGCTGACTGACAATTGCATTTGACTACTTCCTTCCTTCTTATTGCGGCCAAATTCGTCGGACGTGTCCTGGTAGCAAATGTGTACCTGCACAAAGTGGGTAACATCTCTGTACGACAATGGTGTCACCTTTGTGGGGGAAGCTATAATGTGAAGTTTGAGAAGCTCTGATATAGGGAGCAAACAGCCATTCTGAGAGATTGTTACTAGGCAGAATAAGGGAGAATAGAATTTGCAATATAAGTACCCGTTTGGTTTTCTCTGTAGATGACGAAGAGGAGCTCAAGTACAAGTATGTAATCATGCAGATTTTTGCAAATGATGGACTCTCCTGTTTCCTGACTATCCTTCAGGTGAGACCCAATTGAGCAAACATTTTGTTTTTGAGAACATACGTTTTAGTGGGTCGTCCGTTCGTGCACTTTTTAAACTCCATGGGCCTGCTTCTTCATATGGTGCAAGAAGGAAGAACTAATTAAATTGATCTCCATCAGCAGTGACTTGCCAGTTGTCTTGCATGCTACATTTTTCCAATCTGTGTTGGCTATTTAAAAATTAAAAATTGATTTCAGCGTTTGGTAATAGTCGTAACATAGCAGGTGACTGTTAATTCTTTTTTTATCCCTCAACAACAGAAAATTTCGGAGGAGTATTTGAAGCCTTACCATGGACCGGCTTCGCTCGTCGGTCAGCAGGGAGCCCAAGTAGTGGCTACTGTAAAGCCAGTGGTGAACCTTCTCCAATTTATGCTGGGCTACCTGATCTCCTGCAGAGGCACGGAGGTTAGTGCACTTTAGTGATCTTTCTTGCGTTGGTTGTTCTTGACCGTCATGTGGTATGTGCTCTCAAACAGCCATATGTGTGCTTCATTTGCCTTGCATTCATATCTTTTTAGCATCTCATATTAGTATCTCTTTTTTAATGCATAGAACGCTCGTTTTGACGAAAACCCGGCGGTGTTTTTTGTTTGTCAGTTGTCGTGTGCGACGCTCCCATTGGTCCGAAGCGCTGACGTGAGCACACGTCAACCTCTCCCTCTCTCTCCGGCGCTGACAAACTGACAGACACCGCCAAGCTTTCGGCAAAGTCACGCGCACAGCTGGTGCGGAGCCAGAGAGGAGGAGGTGCCACGCAACAACTCTTAGGTAACAAAGTTGTAGTGCTGAATGAGATGGCGTCGTCAGAGAAGGCCAACGCTGGACACAGATTGGAAACGAGTGCTGCGTCAGCGCTCCGAATCGAGTCAAGGTTTAGGCGAACGTTATCGCAATCATTGTTTCCAATCTGTGCCCAGCGTTGGCCTTCTCCGATGGCGCCATCTCATTCAGCACTAGGGCTTTGTTATCTAGGAGGTGTTGTGCCACGGCGCGGTGGAATGCGGACATGCTCAGTTGCCTCTCTGCCTTCGCCTGTTGTTCTTCGCTCTGGATTTCTGTAGTAGCAATCTGTGGTGTGTGTGTGTAGTTAAAACGATAGATGCGGTTCCCTCCACGAGTGATAGGGATGTAATTCCTTCCACGAGTGATATGGATGACCGTATCCAAGGCCGTCGACATACTCTGACAGGTAAAGTACAGAAAAGGGGTGAAAAAAAATTACTGGAAGATCCATTGGTGGATTCTTGGGGAATCCGTTAGCATGACCCTTTACTTTATTTTAAGTTGAAGTACTCATTGAGAAAAAAAATATGTATTTAAAAATTGACATAGGACAGATATGCATTTCATATTTTGAGGTAATACCTCTTCCTTAAATACTATTTACATTTGAGTTATAAAAGCTAGATAGCCCGAAGTCCCACATCTCTTACTTTATATTCAAATATTTAAAATCGTGCTTTAATAGCTTCATTTGCATATCATAGATTTCGTAACAAAGAGTGACACATCTTATGCACATATGTAAAATTGTCCGAGAGAGCTGAAGGTTTGTGCAGTATGCCTACATCTGATGTTAAATCTCCCCTGCAAATTTCATTCCGATCACTTGAATAGTTCAGAAGGTAAATCTCTATAGCCAGTGTCCCCCTTAAGCTATACTAGTTAATTGTTTGAGATTTGTTTTTCTTACACATTCTTTGCACTGTTCGTGTTTTTTTGTTCTGTCAATTAACTTTCAAATGGTATCCAATCTTCATTTCTTTAAGACTATTTGTACGGTCGGTGCTTCCCTCTGATTATTTTTTTCTTTTCTCTTTCATTACTCATTCTGGCTTGGACCAGCAAATCTAGCCTGTCGTAGTATGTTTCAAATAAAATAAATGGATAAGAAACACAGACTGCCACCTTGTGTTGTGAATATATGAACTTTCTGGTATCTGCGCAGTTCAAAGACGTCACAGCTGTGCCAGTGCTGCTCCAGACCTTCACACTGCTGGGAATGATCCCTGCATCCTCACCACTGCGTAGCTTAGCACTGAAGGCAAGTTATACTCCATAATTTCAATGCTATTGAGGTGCCTGGTCTCAACAGATTTACCGTAGAATACCGCGCATCCGCCCATTCCACATTAAGCGCCCATATTCAAATTTCTAAGATATGAAAAAATATGCACAGTACATTTATATGCAAAAATTGATGACCGGACAAGCGCCCATCCCCTATTTTTTTGGCGATTATCTCTAAATTTTGAGTGGGGGCTTGCCCGGTATTTTACGGTAAGACTTTTCCTCCTGCTTTTTTTTTTTTTTTTGGTGTGTATAAGATTTTGGTGGCCTGTGCTGCATGATGTACTGCTTTTCAGCTTGAGTCCACAGACTTGAGTTTAATATTGTTGGGTGTTTAGAACTGAAAATCCTAGTGCTGCTTTTTTAGAGTCAGCCAGCCTTTCATAGAAGGTTGCCTAGGGACCGTTAAAGTGGATGCTAGGGAAGGTTCGAACTAGCTCTCTCTCATGCTTTTCGTTACATTGTAACAGTGTACGTTCCAGCCCCTTTTCAGCAACATTTCCTGTGGCATTCTGTTTTTTGGCAAGGGTTGATATATTCAGTCTCAAATTGGGGAGGTTGTCATGGTCTTTTCATTCTCCTTGTTGTCCAGGTTCAAGTGGAAATTGTGGAGACCTTGCTGACGTACACCCAGCCACACCTGAGCTCTGCCGAAACAGAAGAAGGTTAGTCCCAAGCATGCACCTTATGACACAAGCACAAACGGAGAAAAAAATGCCTTGAGTAAAAACTTATTTTCGACTCTATTCCCCAGCTCTGAACAAGAGCCTCTGGACACAGATGATCTCTGAGGTGCTCAAGTATACCCTGCGGGCACCGTACACATTCGTCACTGGACTGACAGTTCTGTCGGAGCTGCTTCCTCTGCCGTTGCCACTTCAGATTAGGGAGGCAGGTGTTATTTCATCTTATAAGCCCTTCACTAAGTCGCACATAAGGGAGGCAGCTCACGTGCTGGGTTTGAGGTAGGGCCATCATAAGTCGGCAGCAACTGTTCTTTCATGCAGCCTTTGAGCAGCGATGACCTTCCCAAGGTGGTCAACAGCCGTAAACTGTGGAGCGCCTATCTTCACTCCTTGAGTGCCGACATCCAGGAGATTGTTGGCACACTGAGCTGTGAGTGGAACAAATCAACATATATTTGATACCTGTTGTTTTTCGTCGAGCTTGTTTAAATTAGTATGCTTATTTTGACTGCTTGCATGAACTGATTGCCGTTCGAGCATTTCATGCACTCTGCTGACATTGCATGATGAAAGATTTGTATAGCTAGTGGTGTGATTGCTGCGCCAAACTGTGCCAAGGTACTTAGCTTGTAACTTGATGTTACATTTCACCAAGATGTGGGAAATTTGTGCCAACGTTGTGCAAAAAGTAAATTTTACTTCCTCAATATTGAAACTAGTTTGGGCCCCGTCACACTACGGTAGGCTTGTGGAAATTTTCAAAACTTAGTTATCTAATTATCATACAATTGAATTTGATCTTTCTATTAAACACTGACAGTACTTAAAAGTTCTGCAAGATTTCTCGTTGTTTAAGTCTGTTTGAACAGGCTAGTTAACTGTAGTAACTTTATTGATGCTCTCTTTCCAGTGCAGTGGTGAATTGTGGAGAAGCCACAACCGTGCAGTAGATATTGCAATATTTTGTATCTTGCGTTGCCATAGTGCAACCATGTGCCAAGGGGAAAAGCATTCCTTCATAATGGTTAGGGTGTATGCTATAGACCAGGATGGCTAGACGGTCATAATCGAAGAGCCATAAAATGGAACAATTTTAAATGAAGAGCCGCAAAAAAGAGGGTGTAGCGCTTTCTAGACATTTTTGCTTTTTCTTCTCAGTTGGTGGCCATGGCTAATTGCACTCATAAAGCTATTGCTCAGTATGTCGGTTTATTGTGAGTCCCTATTCGTCAAACGAGGACATTGTTTGTTGATATGACGGCAGAAAACTGACAAAACACAACCTGCCCATTTTTCTATGTCTTATTTGGGTCTGTTCTGAAAGGGGAGGGGAGGGGAGTGAAGGGAAGGAAAGGAAAGGGAACGGAAGGGAAGGAAGGGGAGGGGAGGGGAGAAGAGGAGGAGGAGAGGTTTACCAGGGAGCTCCGTGCCACATTTGGGCCCCTGAAGAACCAAATGAAGCTCGCTAGCCGTGGTTTGGCCACTTCTGTTAGAGGCTGATGTTCTGACAAATGTCGGGCATCATTGGTCATTGTTTTGTTCTTTTAAATCCTATTTATGGCCTTTTTTGGTAGAAATTAAAGTTGCTGCATTAATTGGAGTTGACTACAACAGGAGTTAGTTCTAATTAGGAGTTCTGGTTTTCAGTGTTTATTTTACCAAAATAAAATTGGCATTGATCGGTCTCTAGTCTGCATAGGTGCGATTCCAACACCTAAAATCAGTAAAAGAGTCAAATAGCCGTGCACAAATAAGAGTAAAAGTGCAACATAAAATATTTATCTTCCTTCAATGGATTGCTTGAGACTTCTGATCACATATCCTCAGAAATACAGTATTGCGACTGGTGTACATTCATATTAACGTTGCAGGGCTTGCTTACAGGATATCAGGAATGAAATAAAATTGAATCCCAAGCAGTCACTTAAATTTTTTAAGCTTATTTTGTGCCACGGTGCTGGAAAAATATTATTCGGCATGCCCTGTTGGTGTTTCTTGATCAACACAGAATTGCCAAAAGCCTAGTTATTTTAGCGGTTCCAGTGTAAACATTGATTGATACTGTGCTATAAATAAAGCTGCACAAACAAAAAAACAGAGACAAGTGGAAGAGATATAAAGGTGCAGTGCTGGATTTGTATCTGTCTTCCACTTGTCTCCATGTCCTTTTTGCACAGTTTTATTTATTCTAATCACGCAGTGACCCTCCCAATTACATACCTTGGTGCTGTTCTCTCTTTAGAAGAATATACATAGAGCAGTCCCATATTGCTATGGTGGTACTAATTCTACTGGTGTCGTCTACCCCTTCTGCGGACAGACTCAACCTGTCCGACGGTGCAGCAGCTGTTCCGTCGGGTGTGCATTCAGCTGTCGGACCTTGCCGCCCCGTCCGCATCCGTGGTGGCCCGTGCCCTCCTGGACATGCTCTACTCTTCCCTGGCCGAGCCCCCTTTCCCTGGGTCCTCTCCCCCCGTGCCGATGGTGGACCCGCATCGGACCACAATCGTCGGCGACGACATCCGCGGCACCGCCAGTCTCGCCGCTCCGGCGACAGTCCTCCCTCCCGTACCCAAGCTGCTGCCATCCAGTAGCACCATCCTTGTGCTACTAGACCAGTTCTGCTTCCTGGTCAGCCACGGTCCATTCAAGGTGGCCGTCCTGCACGCCCTCAAGGGCAGGTGAGTGTCGTCACTCTCGAGGGCATCAACAGAAATCCCCGTTTCCTTCTCTGCCAGTGGGTGAAGAGGGGGAAAACCTGAAACTATGAGGGAGTTTTGGCGGACCCCAAAGTGTTGTGGAATTTAATGTCCACTTAGTGTGTTTCCTCTTATGGTCACCGACAAAAGGACAGAGATCCTTCGGTTGGCCTGGTTTCAGCATGAGCTTCCTGCCTTAAATGAAAATAATGTCGCCTCAATGGCTCCAAGGCAAAGCTCTGGCCTACAGATCCCCAAGTGGCGAGTTGAAACTTCGGTCAAGGTACCTGCAATCTGACAGAGGCTTATTGCAGAGAAGGCGACCATGTAACCAATATTTAGGTTGCACGTCGAAAGGTCCCCTGGTGGTTGAAATTAATCCTCAATTCTTTGCTGGGGTGTGCCAGATTCCCTTTTGTTGGTTGGTTCATAAAACCCCCAAATTTAACTTTGACCTTCAATAATGCTTCAATGTCTCGCGAGTCTAGAGCGTGCGCGCTCAGCCAAAGCACAGTGGAAGGCAACGAGCGTGTGCTGGAGGCTGGGCATTTCAAAGAGATGTCGTGCCGTCCTCATCCTGTCGGGGATTATAGTATTGTAGAGAGCCAGCTCTCGATAAAGTTCCGGACGATTGCAAGTCGAGTCGGTAGCCTTTAGTTGTATAATGTCTGCATGGCTGGAATTCTCTCGCTTTCCCTTCCAGCCCCAAGTATGGAGAGCTGTTCACCTACCTGCTCGGACTGCTGAACCTTTCCAGCGATGAGCTCTCTCACATTCATACTCAGGAGTGCATCTTGGTGAGTAACACTTGGATTCAGATACAGTATAGACCACTTACAACGTAACCGCTTATAGTGCAGGACCAGGTATAACGCGGCTTTTTTAAACCACCGGTTCGCCTCCCATAGAACTCCATGTAATTACATACCGCTTAAAATGCAGGCATGCGAAGGGAATTGCCGGTTATAGTGCTGTTTCTGGAGCAGCGCACCGACCGCGCCGAACGACTGGTGCAGCGAGCACAGTTCCCTGTGCGACACCAGATAACGGCGTTAGCCGCAAGCGGCACTTGCGGGGGCAAGGATGGCAAGGAGGTTGCTCGAAGAAGCGGGGAGAAGCGAAGAGAGAGGCTTCAGTTGCCATAGCGACGGAAGGACGCATGCCCGTGTCGTTCACGTGCGTGCGTCCCTCCGCGAAAACAATTGCAACGACAGACCAATCGCAAGTCGAGGAGAAGTGTTCGCGCGCATTGCATGCCGGTCGCAGGCCGGCTGCTTCTATCCGCAAACATGGCGTCGGTTTTAATCGTCGACGTAGACGGCGTAGAAGCTCATCGTTCCGCGTAAAAACGCTATCCTTGACTGTGAATTTTCGTTGTGTGTCGCTATCATAACCCAGCATGTACTAGAAGGGAAGATCCACCTACTCGTGCGGCGATGTTGTGGCGGCACTCTCAAGACGGCAGAAACGCCCGTGTCGTCGTGTTTGTTTACTTCGACTACAGTGGTGCTTTCTAAGCATTTGTGTTTTCGAACATCGCCCAGATTTCTTATTTGGAGCATTTCATGCCTGTGCTCAAGTTGAAGGTATTACTGGCGCGTACGTATAAAGGATGCGAATTTTCACGCGTTTTCATCGCCGGAGAAAAGTGATTAGGGTTAGCAATCCTGAACGCTCGCAACGTCCGTCCGCAACCCGCGACGCCGTTAAAAGGCTGCGCCAGGCAAAAGTCGCTCATTTCTTTCAAAATGTGTGACACACTTGAGAGAAAAGTGTACTAGTCTGGTGAAATAAAGACTTTCCTCAAACTAAAGCTTTATTTTTCATCTAACATAAAATAAATTCTTTTACAAAGGTAAGTTGTCTGATGGCATGCATTTTGGCCTCAAAAATTGATGTTTTGGTTATAGCGCGGTACCGCTTATAGTGCGGATTTTCGCGACTCCCGCGACATACGTTATATGCGGTCTACACTGTAGATGGTGTTAGAATAAGTTTGTAAAACTAATTGTTACTACCTAACTTGGATACTTTAATTGGAGGCAGGTAATAAGTATGAACTAGTAATGAATTCTACATGTTGCATATCAGAGGTGTAGAATTTTGGCTACAAAGCAAGTGACAGTATCTGTGTAGAAATTGCAGCAACGGGGAAGAACTCGCAAAAATTCATTGGCTTTTTTTTTTTGATTGAGCTGTTTTACTAAAAATTACCTCATGGGTTTGAATTGCACAGTGTGCTCCAGTTGCATGTCATCGAAGGAGGACAAACAATTGCAGCGACTCTGCTTTCTCATTGGCCTTAGTTGTTGACAAAGTTAATGCAGCTACTAACTTCCTTTGGCTCTTGTTCACTCTTGCGTATATCGCCCACCTTGTTTATACTATGATCATTATGAAACCAAGCGGATGTCTGCGAGCAAACAAAACTAATGTTACTCTGTCAAATCTCTTTGAAACTAAGCAAATGAAGTGCACACAGCACAAAAGTTATGAAGCAAATGCATCGGCACAAATGTGCGTGTGGAAGGAAAAAAAAAAAGAAACGGAAAACTGGTTGCACCACCTGAAAGCTCGGATCTACGCTAACAAATAATCATGTGCAAAACAGAGGGTGCACAATGCTAGGGCGCAATAAACTGCTGGATATTCTATTCTATTCCAGCTTTCCAAGTACTGCCACTAATTCATCATGTCGCTTGTGCTCCTATTGGTTGCTGGTGAAGCGCCACTATTTTTGGCTTATGAACCATCTCGTTAAAACTAGACTCAAATTGCATTGAAGACGCATAAATGGAAATGGGAAATCAGATTCTTGTCGTTTGAACCACCATTTTGCTATAAGTGGCTTCATTATAACCAGGCTAGAGCGTACTACTATTTAATAATACTCTTCTGCCTCGGCTTAGCTTGCTGATAGTGTTTGCTTATCAAGTATGGAATGTGTTCCAAAAGTAGGTTGTTGTTTGTCTCTGTATGTGCAGTCGGTTGTCCAGGCACTCTGTGACCCCGATATTGCCCTCACCCCGATTGAGGAAAATTTGTCTGGAATGTCAACAACACAGGTGAGTTTATTTTGGTTTTTACACCAGTTCGAAAACTATAGCTTTGAAGCAACCCGAGAGTGAGGGATGTGAAAGGTGACACAAAAAGAAGGTCTCCAACCCAGCTAAAATTTTATTGTGGACAGAACCTTTATATAAGGCTTTTGTCCATAGGAATGAAACCCTTTGTGTCAGACAAGAGTGGTGTAAGTGGGGAAGGTCTTTCCTCTTCTTTCAGTTTGTTCAACCCTTACATAAAGGGTTCTGTCCGCAATAAAATTTTATCTGTGTTTGAGATGTTCTATTTCTCTTCTCTTAATGTCACCTTTTGTATTCCTTGGTCTTGGGTTGCTTCAAAATGTTCAGTACACTCCTGCTCACTTGCGCCTTTACGTTCTGTTCACTATAGCTTCTTTTTCCATGCCTGCCCAATTGGAAGAATGCACTTAACACAGTATAAACAGTTTCAAGCATGGCGCCTCAGCTGGTGCCCCATGCGTGCAAGAAGGTGCAGCATGCGTGTGAAGGTAGCTTTTTTCCGGGCTTGCAATTACACGTGCTAGCTCGCATGAGCATACATGTGGCGGTGGCCAGGTGCCCTGCTTGCAGTCATCTAGAGTTTTTCATTTGTATTTTTAAGAAAATTTAGTACTCATATTTTGCCTGGAATGCTTGTCTATTCAACTTATCCCTTTCCTTATAATTTGCATGAAGCCTGGAAACAATATGTGACATAAAGCATTTCACAATGTTTCCTTTGTGAACTTATGGTAATATCCTGAGTCATTCCCCCCTCACACACACACACCTTTTGGATGAATATCATTTCCACAAAACCAGGGTGATCGCCCACCCCAACAAATACCCCAATGCAGGCTCTGCGATCCGCGAACATTCATCCTACCCGAATGGCGTGGCCGTGGACCTAACGGTTGGAGGACGTCCGTGACAAAGTGAAACGAAGGGGAGAATGACACTTCACATTGTTTACGCATTTCCTCCCCGATTTCCGCGATCCCGAAGTCAGAGTATGCTTGCGAAAGAAAAACGATAGAGAACACTCAAATTTTGTCTTGCTTACAAAAAAGTTTGTTTGAAAGAAAGAAATCGGAAAGATAACACAAGCACTAACCCATTCAGGGATCACGAGGTCAGCGAACGCCCCATATCATGGAATGTAACTGCGGCGTGTAAGGTCAAAGTCAGTCTCCACCAAAATAAGGTCACCATGAACCCACTCCTTCTCCCGGAACATCGTGACCGTGGTTGGTAAGGTTGTGCAATGTTTGAGACAAAGCCAACGGGTAAATAAAAATTTGCTGAAACGCCGCACACAGACGTTCGTGGAGCTTCCAATTTCATTCTCAGTGTTCGTGGTGCCGTCCATGCCACGCAACAAACAATGTTGCCTCAACCCGCGTTGATAGCACACCGCGCATGGGCGACGCATGTATGCGCCAAACAAGAAAGTTGCGTAAGAGCCTCTTGTGATTTACAAGTTGCCGAACTTGACCGGACGCCAAAGCCAACGCGATTGCCGGTTTTCCCGCTTCCCCGGCATCGCTTTGTCGCTTCTTTCGCCCACTGGCTGGTTGGTTTTTTCTACTTTCTTGCTGGCTCTTTTCTTTTTTTTTTTTTACTAACGAGGAGAGCATGGCGGTGTTAGAAACATACTGTCATGCAACAGACATTTGCACTGTATTCCGATCGGCAGTGTTCATCGTGCGTGTGCCAGCAACGGACTTTGTGATAGTAAAACATTCTTTCATGAGCATTTCTTGTATAGAACAAAAAAACTAATTCGAGTTTTGAGTTCAATGTATTTCTTGTACAGCCACACTAGACATGTACAGAAAACTGGGCGTTTTTTCAGCTTTTTCTAAACCTTTTGTGCTTACCCACCAAGACATGGCCCACCCCACTTTTTTAATGAATTTCTGGCAGCAGGGGGGTGGGCAATGACTCTGGATATTACGGTAGACATTCACGGAGTGCAGTATGGCCACAGTTCTTTTTTTTTTTATTATATTTCTGTAGAAATTTGAGTGGGTTGCTTGAAAAATATAGTTCAGAAATACATTCAAAGGTAACCAAAGTGAGTGAGAAGGCGTTTTATTGATCCATTCTACAAGTGACGTTGGTGCCCGGGAATTGGAATCGGTGACGACTGGCCCTAGCTTGAAGGAAGGGGGAAAGGGACAATCTGCATGTGAGCATTTACACTGTGGTATAGTCAGGAGCGACCAGAGCGAATGCAATCCATGTTTACATGTTTTTCTTTTGTTGTTGTTTTTTTTTGTTATTTTTGTGGCTTCAAATCACAATCAGCACCAACGAAGATTTCCGACAAAATACATAAAAGAGACCTGTAATTATCAAACTAGTGAACAGCGGCCAGTGCAAAGCGAAAGTTTCACAGGAATTTAATATTTTGGCTTCTAAAACATTTGTTCAGAAAATTAATCAATAAACTTTATTATGTCGGAGATCCCGCTTCCAGATATAAATCTGTACATAAGCCGATGTGGTTTTTCAGGCTGCCCGATTATTCATACTTTTGCGCAATCTCCGTCAAATCCGAATGATCGGTTGGCAACTGCTTGTTTGCATAGAATTTATACCCCTTTTCCACAAGGGCGCTGCCATCTTGGATGTTGTCACTTCCAGTATGGGTGAAAACAGTGTTTTGCCATCGTCATGCCAATGCAAGCATAATTTTCACCCATTCTCGTTTTGCGTCACCTCTAATTTCTTTGCTAGTCGCCCATACTGGATATATGTCTACCGGGTGGCTGGGGACGAGAGTAAACGAAAAAGGTCTATGGGAGGTGACTCGCTTCTCTGGCCTTTGTCCGTACTGTCTGTCACGGGATTGCGGCAGCAGTTTGGAAGGCCCATTGTGAAATTTAGATAGCTGCGGAATACTTTGTTTTCAAATCGTCATTGTTCGCAGGCAAACGAATCTGCCAAAGGGAGTGCGGAAGAAAAGCCGGACTTGGCTGTCCTCTTGAAAAAGGTATATATGGTTTCGTGATACTTTTGTGCACGTTGCAGCGAGAATTGGACAATGACGGAGTTGCAAACATTTTTGTTTGTTTTAGCTGGCAAACTCGGTGCCGCCGAAGGAGCAGTTGCAGGCAATCTGCTCGACACTCGTGCACCACATTGGAACTGCATCGCATAGCTACAGCTCGGTCCTGCTGGCTGTCCGGGTGCTGGTGATGCTCACTGAGCACGACTTCGGCTTCTTCTGCATCAAGACGTTAGTTTTCCCCCCTTGTAACCTCGCCTGCCCTCTCTCCTTTTTCAAGATACCCTTCAATTGTCCCTTTAATTTTTCGAGTTCAGAAACTAGAAGCATGTAGTTGTCTTTCCAGAGACTGACGCCATGTGACGCAAAAGGCTGTTTGATACAAGACTGTAAATGACTTGATTTTTGCGAGGACCTAGATGTTACGAGCTTTGCAATTTACTAAATATGGCAAAAAATTCATCATGTGAACACATCACCCCGTAACTAATACATAGCATACCATTCCTAATCGCAATATTTCGGGCCTGCAAGGTATTCTTGAAAGCCACGTCTTGCAAAATTTGGGAAATATTGAGCCCGCTCAGTCATTTACAGTAGTACCTGTTTGAAATAATTATTTTCTTTTTAAATCTAAATAATGGAATGTGTGTGATATTGCTAATTCTGGAACACAACATTGAATATGTCAAGAGACTGTAAATAATGCCACCACATTAGTTTTTTAGGCTTACAGGAACACCGCCATAGCTGCGCTGCCTGGCCTGTGGAATAATCCCAAGGTCCCAGCTCCCAATACTAGTCAAAACCAAAAGCACTAAGTTTAACTAATGCAATAATAAATTATTGGCAAGCTCTCGGCATATTATATGTTGCTCAAAATAATGCATGTGATACCAGATGCATTATATTGAGTAAAAAAGTGCAACAAAAAAATTGGATGTTACTGATCATATTACCTAAGCATTTGCATTGCTTGTAGTCTAAAATTTATTTTTGTTGCATAACCTTTTTTTAAGAGGTCACGTAAGCTTAAAAGAGACAGTGAAAGGCTCCTTAACCTTACACAATTCAGTTTGAATGGCGAAATGCTAGACTATAAGACCCCTTTCCACAACCCCTGTTTTGCTTTGTGTGGCGTGCTATCGTATGTCAAATGGCAGGCCAGCAATGCATTTCTGGATTGGGAATGGTGCATAATATGCACGCTTCCCCAAGGGTATTGTGTTGAATTTTTTGGCAACAAAGAGATATTGAATTAGTTCTACCAGCCCTGAAAAGTCTGGAAGTGCAGGTGTGTTCTAGAAATAGTGAGAGAGTTGGCTCGATAAATGGCAGTTGTTTGAGTCCTCATTTTCACTGCCAGTTTGGTTTGCTGGTCTCAAAAGACCGCATTTCCCAATTTGTGCAGCTGTGAGTGAGCAGTGGTAGAAAATCTGTGAGGATAGCTCATCAAAAAAAATATATGTATTAGCAGTTTTACCGTATTTCAATTTTCAATCAAACCGTCGTCTGCAAAATTGTGTTTTATAGCAGATGCTAACTCCAGTCTCGGCCTTCAAGGCATACGACGCCGTGTCGGCGTTTCCACAACTTCCTTTTGTAGTTTTTTTAATATTATTATTTAAGTGGAAGTTTTACTTGTCCCATTGCGCGAAAAAGCAGCATTGTGGTGCCCTAAAGACGGCCATAAAAACATGTCATCAAGCACGCATCGCTCAATCGTATGCTCAAGGACGACGCCGTCCTTGGCGACGTCCTTGAGGTCGTCCTGGGGGTCAATTTTTTTTAAACAGTCTGGTTTGGACACGCATGACAAGAAATGAATTTTACGCGAAAAAAATGTTTAGAGCAATATTGACGGCGCGAGATTTATTTTAAATTCTTCGCGCAAAGTCTGTGATGTCACGGAATGGTTGTATACTCTTTCCACCTCAACGAGATGGTCATGCACTCTCTCCACCTCACGTGATAGCCAAGCCGATCCACCTCTTTGTGCGCTCGAAATGCCGAGAGAGAAAACAAGTGGAAAGGAGGTGACTACCGAATGAATCTCGTCTCGCGCCGTCAATATTGCTCTAAATATTTTTTTTATCTTCGCATAAAACTCGTTTTTTGACACACGTGTTCCAACCAGACTCTTTTAAAAAAATCATCTTTTTTTCTTTTCAGTGGCCCTTTTAGTCTCCCTCCGTAACTTTTTGTTTTTAAAGGGGCACTGACACCCCAAAGGTCGTATTTTTTTTATTGTCTAAAACGATGCAAGTTGCAGTCATAGACACGCAAAAAAAAACGCATCGCAAAAAAAAATTTTCCCGCGCCTTTTTATTTTTGGTGTTCGATTTTCCCGCCTCTCGCCTCCTCGCTTCTTTTGATCGGTGACGTCAAGAATCATGAAATTTAGAAGCTTTGTAGGCGACATCTCTATAACATTTAATTACGGCAATCCTAAAACATGTTTTTTAACGCAATTACGAACGCACTACGGCCCTTCTTTTTGAAATACCAAAAATCGGGAGTTCGTTGTGGTGCCGTCTCCTGGATTTGTATCCTCCAACGGAAAACAGGCGACACCGCTCAAAACCGGTCCGCCGGAACGCCGGCGCCCGCTCCTTTCCTCCTCGCTTTGGGTCGCCATGGCAACAGCAGGGAGTGGTGAAAGAAAGTGAACTCTCAGGGCTCCGCAATTTTTGACGTCAAGGCACCGGCGCCGATCGCTCGGGAACTTTGAATTCGGCATTTGGAAATTGTTTTTTTACATCACAAATACTGAATTCCCAAATTTCAAATTTTGAGGGTAATGTCCCGGCATCGTTTTCAATCGTTTCGGATACTAAAAAAAAATATGATTTTGATGTGTCAGTGCCCCTTTAAAACTTTCACAGGTGGCAAAGTTTTCTCGGAGCGTTTCGGAGTCCTCTCTCCTGCCTCTTCTGTTTGTTTGTTTTTTTTGTGTTTTTTTTTTTATTGTTCTTGTTGTTGCGTTGTGTGGTCGGCAGGGCTCGCGGCACAGGTGATTTGACAGCCAGCCAACTCTCTTCGACCTTACACGCTTCTCACATTTTCAAGGCTAAAACAGAGTTAGCTTAGCTAAGAATACAATTTTGCTTGAAAAAGGAGTCTGGCTGAATAGAGTGAGAACGTGCTTTGGCCCCTCTTCCCAGGGCCCTGGAGAGGGAACCGGAGAGCCTGTGCCTTCTGCTGGACCGTCTGAGCGCAACCTTTGACAAGGACAACGCAGACTCCCTGTCAACATTGTCGGCGTGCCTCGAGCTGATGTGGCTGCTGTGCGTGCCCGAAGAAGAAGGTCCGCTTGGACAGCTACGCAGTCTTCGGCTGGGGCCCGGGGAACTTGCTTCTCTCATCAACTGGAAGGGCAAGACGCACCTTGAATGTCACCCACTGTTGCGGCTCGAGAAGCTGCTTGGCGTGAGTCCCGCGTTTGCTGCACCTGATTGAAGGGGTTCTTCATCTGAAACTTCCATATAGGGATTTTGAGCTGCAGTACTCCTTAGTAATCATTCGGCTACACTCAAGCTGTGCCGGCATAGATGGGCTATGGATCTGGTAAACATTTTCTCAGATAAAACTGGCTTCATTACGTAGATGTTTGGTCGACGTCTTGTCGTAAACTTTAACTAAACAAAGATAAGAACAGAGTAAATCTGAGCAGTGGTATGAAATAGTATTACCAATACTAGTAAATGGTGCTTTTATAAAACAAGTATACTGGTTCCCTGGTGAAAAGGTTTCCTTCTAAGACTGATGTAGCTTTGGCTCGACCGGAGCAAAAGCTTATATAGCATAAGTTGATAGCCTTGGATGATAGACTAGCTATGTAGTAGTGTGTATGGGCTGATGTGACTGGATGTGCTATCACAAACAATATGAGCATGTACAGACCAGCATGCCTATTTGGCACATTTGTCAGTCTTTAGAACCAGTCTGGTCCCAACTAGGATTTAAACTCAAAGTTTAGGCTCCAGTCTCTTAGCTACAGTGCAATCCACTTATAACAATATTAAGAAAACCGGAAAATGCTATAGTTAGAACCGATCATTGTTTTATCTGGACTGGATAACCTATGCAAAAATGTATAATCCTCTAGAAACTGATCGTTATAAGCGGTACATCGTTACTATATATGTGGTATTGTTTTATGTGGATTGCACTGTATTTGACAAATTTAGATATAAATAGGATTTTAATGACTGTATATTTGTAGTAAAAGGCCAGATGGGGTGTTGTAGTTCATTATCTGTGGGTGTAGACAGTTTTCACATAAATCATAGAAGCTGAACTGCGTATAGACGTTATCGCCTAGCATTTAACAAAACTACTTGGACAGTGATTGTAGCTTGTTTGCTTGCTGTTCGTTTAGCATGTAAAATTTGCAGGGCATTCTTGCATGTAAGTGTGCAGCTGCTCTTGAGAAGCTCCTTTTGTTTGTGGATGTGTGAGTTGGTAATTACTAGGTGGAACTAGAGAGGCAATAATTATTTATTAAATTTTCTGAGAAACCTGAGTGCCTTGTGTACGTGCTGGGAAACAAAACTAATGTCGCAATTTCATTACTTTTTGCAAGCGATTCTACACAGGATGTTTTCATGACAATTTATGTTATTTTATTCTGAAGGAGTGCTCCAGAGAAGAAGAGGCACTGGAGAGCTTGCTGGCAAGCATTGCAAGCCAGTTGGAGTACTTGGGCCGAGCAGCATCTAGCTCCGACAGGGGTGACTGCTTTTTCTCATACGCTTTATACACTTTTGCATACCTACTAAGATGCAGTTTCAGACACTTTGTTTTTTTTTCTGAGTTAAAGAGCAGCACCTTCCATCGTTAATCACATACATTTTAGAATTGAGTTTCGAAGAAATAAATGTGAAACAAAAACTAATCACTTTGGCTTCTTGGCTTTGCGAAATACTATGTGCTACATTAACTACAGGTTTTGCTATTGCTTAATGCATTTATTTTAACTTTTCTTTGTTTTTTTGCACTGCCTGTGAGGCCAAAGGCAGTGCAAAAGATCAGGTATGCAGGGAAACACAATTACCGTATTTGCACGAATATAACGCGAGTTTTTTTTCGAAATTACGTGCTCCAAAACGCACCTCGCGTTATATTCGGAATCGAGTTCAGCCACGAGGCGCGCAAGTCTGGAGAAAGCCAGAGGAGAAAGTCATCCCTCCGGCTCAATGCAAAATATCCAATGGGAAAAGAAGTGGGGGTGTGGAGGGGCATTTTTTAGCCATTGGGCCACGTGAAGGGGAGAATAGAAAACATAAAAAAGCATTGTTATCGCTTTTGTGTTTGTACAACGCGTGCACGCCGCACGCGCGAGCGCCATTCGGGAATGCGGGCGCCGGCCAATTCGAGCCAAGCCAAGCCGGGCCAAGTCAAGTCAACACAAGCCAAGCCAAGACCACCGACCGCGTTTGCGCAATCGTGCAACACGAGGCATTTGTTTACGAAGAGGGACCAGATCAAGAAGTGTGATCGTGTATCGGGTTCAGCTGTCTTTTCTCTGCCTGCGCATTGTTTAGTTTCTGCTCCAGAGTGGTCTGGTGTTTGTGTGTTGCTGCTTCTGCTTCCGCGCCTTGTTTGGATTGTGGGCTGCCGAGGAGCCCCCACGGAAGAAAAAGAACTACCAGACAAGCAGGTGCCGTGCTGCTGCATACCTGCGTAGTCGCCAAGTGGATTGTACACGGAAGGACCTGAGCAGTGAGGATGAGTGCAGTCAAAACATAAACTGATATTTCTTCTATTTCCATTGACTTTTCACTTCTGCTATGCCCCCAATGCGAGAAATTGACGCGGCATTGGTTCGCGTTATAATAGTAATAATATTTTTTTTCTTTTTGGGGGCATCAAAAACTGCCCTCGCGTTATATTCGTGGTCGCGTTATATTCGTGCAAATACGGTATAATGGCCAATAACAAAACAGTAGCAAGTCAAGCTTTATCTTGTACAAAATTCAGAGTAGACCTGTGTGATTATGAGGTTACCATTCACTCTAGTTGTTGCTTCTTAGTTGGTTAAAAGTTTGAACAAGAATTAGCTCGAGAGCTGCTTTAGTCAAACTTGTGTTTTCTCGCTAGCAAGACTGAATTTAGTTTCAGCGGACCTCTTGCATTTTTTGTTCTTGTCTTTTGTTTGCATGCAGAGATGCTGGAACCGATGCTGCCAGCTCAGGACGGCCTCTCGGCCCAGTTTGGTTTGCGGACGGTCTACTTGCTCGGTGAGATTGACGAGGAGCGGCTCAGTCCTTCTTTCTGGCTGGCTGCAGCTGTCGACGACTCTGAGCAGGAACCTGAACAGGTTTGTTGGCCTGCTTTGTCATTGTTTCCTCTATCTTATGTCCTTATTCGCTATATCGTCGCATAAAAACACTTCATCTACTTTGCTTGCAATAGGTTGAAGTGGACCTCGCGTCCATGATGGAGCGGACTCTACCAGATTTCAACCTCAAGAGCGAGCTAGAAAAGCTTATCCTTTCCGGGGAAGAGGAAACGGGCAGCTCCAAATCTCCACTGTGAGTGTTGTTTCCTTTGTTTGTCTTTTCTGTCAACTTCTTTGACTTGCTGTGCTCATACATTATATTTTTTTGGTATGCAGTGTGAACAAGCGCAAGTTGATGCTTGGTGCGGAAGCCATGGAACCTACCACTAAGAAGCCCTTCAGTAAGCTTTTGCCAACTTGGTTTCTTTTTTTTTCTTTTTTTTTTTGCTGAGTTTTATTGGTTCTAAACTTTTGCAAGCTTGACTCTCTCAGCCTTTTATCAATCTTTCATCTTGATTTGGAGATAGGAACATTAAGATTTTGTGATTAGTGTTTAATCATTATAGGGACACTATACAAAGTGAGAAACAAGATTTTGTGATTAGTGTTTAATCATTATAGGGACATTATACAGAGTAATACTGATTAGTAAGGGTCAATGCAAACAGTAATTAACATATTGCAATTAGGTTACTATGTCAGTTGGAAGGGCATATCATTCCTGTATGTAACGAATAAATTATTGAGCTCTGCTCTATTTATTTATTTATTGAGTTCAAACTGCAAACCAATGGATGATCCAAGCAGGAAGTACAAACAGAAGAAAGTCAGTAAGGCCCACACAAGGTCACAGAACAAATTATATGAGATATTGGTAAAAACATTGCGAAAGCATGTATGGATGGACACCGCCACTGCAAAACACATTTAAAAAAAACAAAAAAACGTTTAGTTTCAAAATTTGCGGTATAGTTTTGGGGGCAATGCTGTATATGTAGGGAATGTAGATTGGCTTGCGGGTATCTTCTTGGCTTGTGCCATCTTAAAGATTTCTCCGCTACCTTTTGCCTCCCGAAGAAGAATGAAGGCATAAGCGGATGCACTTTTCTTTGCAGTTGCCCCCATGAGGGGCAGGGGCTTCTCCCGAGGGGGCATGGGGCACACGTCAAGGGCCAACGACCCATTCCGGTCACGGCCCCCCAACACAAGTCGACCCCCCTCTATGCACGTGGACGACTTCCTGGCTTTGGAATCTCACCAGCACCCCCTGGCCACGGGTGTTGCCAAGAGGCCCATCAAGGTCTGGTTTGGCAGCTCACATGGAGCTCCCACAAAGTTTCACGTCAGTTGTTCGGAAGATGTCGGACTCCTAAAATGGGGCTACGTGTTTGAGGTTGTGGTTGTGGCGTAAAGCTAGTGCTTAGAAATTGCTCTTCTAAGCTTAGGAGGACCTTGTTGCGCAGTCAGAATAAATAAGTATGTATGTTATGAGAACCTTCAGTGGTAACTTCGTGTACTGCCTAAGGACCGTCCAAACAGTACTCTTCAAGAATGTGTGAAGCAACACTTCTCTGCCATATGAAGTGCGGCGATCCGCTTCTGTCTGGTTTTTTTTGCCGGGGGGGGGGGGGGGGGGAGGGGAGGGGAGGGGGGGGAGGGGAGGGGAGGGAGGGAGGGAGGGAGGGAGGGAGGGAGGGAGGAGGAGCAGGAGGAGGGGTGGGGAGGGGAGGGAGAGAGCTTTTTTCCATGAACGTCTCCTTGTGTCTTTCACTGAGGCCTAGAGCATGGTCATCATGTGGGTCTGGTAAGCCACTCACATGCACTGTTAGCTCTCAGTCAATCGCTCAAGGCTTCTGCTGCTGTTCAAGTCCCGAAAATGGGGGTGCGGCAGAACAGGTAGATAAACAGGCAACAGGCACACCATTGGCGGGTGGCGTGTGACGTCAAGTCTGACGAGCACCGACATCAAAGAAAAGCAAAGGAGGCGAGGAGGAAAGCCGTGGTGTTTGCCTGGTGTATGTCCAAACAGACGACGGACTGCCAGACTTCAACTTTCACTTCATATGGCGGAGAAGTGTCGCTTCACGGGTCTGCGGTATCCTGTTTGGGCACCCCTTTATTCTGCATCTGGCAAATAAAGGTTTATGCTACGGAAAAAGCTAGCTGGATCGTCTTACTGAATTATTCAGACATTGGATAACTTAAGTAAGGGGCGGTGTTGTGACAAACAACACATGCCCTACAGTCGCCGACTGTTTTCGCCGAACCGTCACTCGCCCCATTGAGTTAATGTATAACATTGACCGAAATTTGGGATGCCATAAAGCTTATTGCTCAATATTTCGGACATAATTTGCATGATTTCCTCAGTTTACAGCCACAAAACAGCCGCTGCGATAACGCCGCGAGTTTAGTCGCCACCATTTTATTTTGCCCTGTAGCTTCGATACCACGTCCTACGCAATAAACAAGCTGGGTTAAGCCTACAGTCGGGTTTTCCAGTTCAGCTATAGACCGACACGCTGCGCGACTCTGTTTACCAACACGGCCGGAAGGCCTCACATGCGCAACAGCTATGTGGGCAAAAGCGACTAGGCTCTCCATGTTTTCACCGTTGCGTTCTATGGCGTGCGCTCCTTGTTGACGTTGTAGAGACGCTTCTAGCTTTATTCGTGCGTCGTATTTTCTGCCAACGTATGTCGTATGTTATGCTCAACTGTTTGAGCTCGCTGCCCAAGCCTGAACGGCAGCGGTACCGACACAAACTGTGCGTGGACTGCGTTGCCTTCGACAATCCGTACGCCGTAAACAAGACCTGGTGTAGTTCCGACGCGAAGTTGCTGCCACCGACGTCGACGGCTAACGCCGTCGTTTATTTAGTTTTCGCCAAGCCAGTTGACGGCTGACACGGTGCAGGAGTGCAAGTCTCTCGAGACCTACGATTACTTCGAGCCGGTTTCCGCACTGCTGGCGGGATCAGCAGATTTAGGGTCTGCTGAAGTGTATTTATTAATTGATTAAATACACACAGCGTCTTCAAGTCAAGGTATGATATTTTTTCTACCCTCATGACCACAAGGCATGACAATTGGTAACGCTTTGTCCGTTCTGCAGTCTTAGAGGTAACGCGTTACAAGTAACGGTGTTACCGGTAACGCATTACTTTTTTTAGTTACGTACTCGTTTTCTGCGTTCTTCTTTGCATTTTTTCTCGTGAGTATTTAGGTGAAACCGTGAAAAGAGATAAAGTAATTATGTTCAGTTTCTGCATGAACATAATGTTTTTTGAAATATCATTTTATGCATACCTGTACCGTCAAAACAGTAAAACGAGTTAAATCATAATTTAAAAAGTTGCGCAAAAGTAATGTGCGTTACTTCTTATCGGTAATGGTAATGCATTCCTTTTATTTTCAGGTAACGTAGGTCGGTAACGCATTCCTTTTTCTTTTGCAAGTAACGAGTAACATATCTCGTTACTCTTTTTCGGTAATGGCTACAACACTGACGTTCTGTCGCCGATTTTCTTTCGCCTGATAGCGCAGGCGTAGCAAGCCACCGACGAGCGCTTGGCCGGTGCTTTGTGCTCGAACACCGTGGGAACAAGATCCCGGTGGTCTCGATCAGACGACGGTTTTCCTGCACATAAGCAAGCCTCGGGACGGAGATTGAAATGGAAGCCGCACTTGCCTTGAAGAAAGTGCTTGCCGTACGAACGGTCATCCGCGCGAGGCGACTATTCTTTTCGATCCACGGATATTATCCACCTTGTGTGCCTTTCAGAGTCTTCCAGGAACTTGTGGAAACTCGCCCCGCTACTTTTGCTATACCTTTCGGTGCAATTAACGGCTACACAGCTTCGCGGCATGCTGAAATGCTATGACGCCCATGCAAAACGTGCGCCCTTTTGCCCACACCACCCGGCTTCGGTGTGATAGCAGCGCCGCCGCAGCTCCGCAACATCAAGCCCGCGTGTCGGTCTGTAGCCAACATGGCCGCCGTCTGCCCATTCTTATGGTTCTTTCAGCTCTTCTCGTGGTCTGTGTTTTTCGAGTGCGACCGCGAGAAGAGCAACCGTCTGCCGTTCTTGTAATCTTTGGGAGCAAAGGTTGTTTTTTGTTTTTTTATAGGCTTAGTATCAAAGCGAGCTTGGTGGACTAAACATTGTCTCCAAATAGTGCCAAATGGTACCAACTTCAGCTTCGCTGTTTGTGCCAACGAAGGTGCCAACAAAGCACAGCACCGTGATCAAACAGATAACAAACAAGTGAAAAGGGAACAATATAAAGCAGAAGTTGTACGAGAACTTGAAATTGACATCAAGCAAGTGGAAAGTGGCCAGTACACTGCGGAACATGCGCAAAAATTTGATATTTTGGCTGAAATCGATTTTTCGGGCCGCTTGATTATTTGGAAAATTTCGGGGTCCCCTTTAAGTTCAAAAAATCAATCGACAACTGTAACTAAAAAAAATTATACCTAGAAATTGTTTGCATGTTACAATCGGATATGACACAGAAATCTGGGCCATTCTAGAATCATTATTCTTGAGTATATTGACTGGGTGTATGTTAGAATCGGATCAATACGCTACCTGCAAGGAAGTTTGATATGACTGATGGAGTGTTGTGTGAGCGTTTGTTCATGATTCCGGGCATACTTTTTGTTGTCATTGTTTGTACCAATGTTTGTGCAAACCATTTTGGCTGCAGGAGGTTGTGAGCGTTCACGGACGTGGCCGCAGCGACGTGGGTGGCGAAGTTGCTGTGTTTGATGCGGGGCGTCCCATGCCGAACCGCGGCGGTGCAGGCCGCTTCTTCTCCCCGCCTGGGCTGTATGGACGCAGGGAACCGTCGCGCATGGATGGCCGAGACTTTGGCGCACGTGAGTTTCATCATGCGTATTACCTTCCAGTGTTTGTGTCATTGTGCCAAATCATATTTAAAAAACACCATCTTTGTTTTTTGTTCTTTTTTTACTTTTGTTTTGGTACACTGAAAAAGTATTGAAAAATTCTTGACATTAACATGGAATTTGGTAGCTTCCATGCAAAATCCAGGAAAGACTGATGGCGTATGTGCACCTAGGCCACTGACCCTGCACACTGTAGGTTTGTGCTATTCGGTGTGTGTTTATTTCCAAAAATATTGCCTGCTGGGTAGAATTGATGCCAAATTATTTTATTGACATCCATATATACCGACCCGGTATGTTAGAATTGGGACTGCGTTGTCAATGAGGGAAAAACTGTCTCACATTGTAGGGGCACTATAGTGGATTCTAGGATCGTCTTTTTATGGTTTAACCTAACCTGCATGCACTAAGCATCCTAAGAAATACAAAATTATAATCATGTGTTGCCTTTTTTACCTATTAAAGCGCAACCGAAAACAGTGCAGCACTATTTTTGTAATTGGGCCCATTGTGTGTCCGGAGTGGAGTGTGGAATCATTTTGTCCCTCCCTTCCTCCAGCTCCATTCGCAATGGGCGGTGCCCGCAGCAACTCCATGGTGCTGCGAGCAATTCCCGCCTGGAGTGATGGACGAGGTAGCAGCGTGGTGCCCAAGCCTCTCTTGGGAGCCTCCAATGTGGTTCCACTGACAGGGGGACCTGCAGACCCACAACAGGCTTTCGGGAGGGCCAGGTGTGTTAAGAGTTACATCTTGTGCTCGTTTCAAAGTTTTGTGCTAAAGTTATTCTATCTACCTTTTTTTTTCTTAAACTTTGTATTTACAATTGATGCTTTTGAGTGTTTTTCTGGAAGCATACAACAAGAGCTTCCAATATCATTCATGCTTGCAGAAAAGTAAATATTGATATTTATCCATCTTCGCAGAGACGAACTTCCAGTGGATTATGAAGGCAAAAACAAATCGGTGCAAGTATGCATATTTTTTATGCGAGTTGTGAAAATATAAGAAACGGCACAAAGAGACCTTTGCTCTCGCTTGTAGTCCCCCTAATTGCTGACTTGATGAAACCCGCTGTTTCACCCAGATCTCTGCACGCTCTTGCTATTACAAGTCCTCACTGGATGCTTGAAGGGGGTGTGTCTTGTTTTTGGTGCTAGTACAGAGATTTTTAGGGATTATGTCATTTATTTATTTCGGCCTAGAACAGTGGCTGTTTCAGCGTTAATTGTTGCCGAACTAAAAAAAGAAACAAACCTTATTGATCCAAAGATCTCGAAGGAGGTAACCCATTTGACAAGAGGAATAGCAGATAAACATTAACTTCCTGCTTCCCACCACAGTCAAATCTCGTTAAATCGAACTCCCTTAATTCAAACTTCCGGTTTATTTGAACTGACGCTGTGGTCCTGTCAAAAGTATGTGTATATGAATGTGCGAAAACATACAGTAATTCGAACGCGTAAATGTTTGCAACATTTATTTCTAACATACCGCGCCGACGACCATGGTCTCGGCAGTGTGCCAACTTGCGTGGCGGCGCCCCCGACCCCGCATTGCGACCGCGTGCCGGCTGCTGCTCCCTTATTGAGAGCCTGTATTACAGAGTGTCCAACTGCTCCATCAGGGTCACGTGGTCGACGGGCTGCCTTTGCAATACGAGCTGTGAGGAGGGGGCGAACTAATTAATCGTCTGCGAGCTTCTCCGCCTTTCTGCCCGCTTTCCTCGCCACGCTACAATGCTTTGCATGCGCACTTGCGACCAATCAGCGCAGGAGGCGTCCGCCATTAAATTGCAAAAGCTCCCCATGGTTTGAGATGGACCCTGTCTACAATCCAGGCACTCTACTCCCGTCTCCTGTTGCAAGTAACCATGGCAACCGATCATGTGGTGACCTTGAATGCTGCGGATGCAGTCGCGGGATAAAGCGTGAGACATGTGCGCGTCAAAACTGCGATCTGACGTATACCAGCTGTCGGATACGACAAGTTTGGTCTCACCGGAGCGTAGAATCGGGGCTCCGTCCGGCTCTGGCATGCGACCAACTTGCCAAATATTCGCCGCACAGCAGTCCGACTGTCGGACAGCCGCAGCCAACGGCGGCACCAGGGTTCTCCCCACGGTGGGCAACAGTGGCTGTGCCGCCCACCGCTCCAACTGTCCGCCCATCGCTCAATTTTTTTTTTATGTCGCGGGATGACGATGCGACTTTGCCTGCGCACATGGCTGCAGACCGTCGCCTTCGTACTCAGCAGGTCCGCGCACCGCCACGTTATCACTCGCTGTCGCATCCCTGACTGCCGCCACTGCCCCACTGCTTCAAAAATAAACGCGCCCTCGACGCGTTTATTTTTTTTCTTTTTCTTCCTCTATCTCAGCGGCGCGCCGCCGGCAATGCCCGGGGGGAGGAGGAGGAGGAGGAGGAGGAGGAGGAGGAGGAGGAGGAGGAGGAGGAGGAGGAGGAGGAGGAGGAGGAGGGAGGGGGGAGATATATTGACGCGACGAACCAAAAATAAAAAAAAAGAACAAACCCCCTCCCCCGGTAATGTCGACCCCTCAGAAATTCCCTGGGCGGCACAGATGGCGCGGACATCATGTCACGTGACGATCGGCTCGATCGGGAGAGCAGGTGCTGTTCCAGGGAGGCGGATGTAAGCGGTGCGTCACGCGAGTCGTCGTGAAGGCAATGGACGCCATGGAGTTCTCCCGCGCGCACAAAACGAGCTGCTGATTTCGTGGATCCATACTTTGGGACCGATCGAGACCGTCGAGTCCCGAATGTACTGCAAAGCGCTACAAGCCATTCCAATGCTGTCCGAGTGTCACAAGACCTTCCGGAGAAAGACAGCAATTTGCGGGGCACTCACATGATATGTCTGCATTGTTCTCTTCGCTGGGATGACTGAGGTCTGCTGCAGTCCATTGTGATTAGGTAATGTTGCAAAAAAATGAACTTACGTAAAATCTTCAGACACTTGCACTTAAATTGGGTGTAATAAAATTTCTTTGTTTGTTTTAAAACCGGAAATATTACGATAAAGAAGAATTAGGCAACATTAAGGTGCTGGTGCATGGTGGCAAAGCCTCCTTTTGGGCATACCGGAACTGGACGGAGCTGAACGGAACTATGTATCGGAAGCGAGGTAGCAAGCATGTGTCTCGGACTGTCGTGTGCGGCATGTCGGAGCAGCCATTTCTCCGGAGGTTTGTGCGTCGTATCGGATAGCTTTGTCGCGCATCTGTCTCGCGCTTAATGCAGCAATGGAGTTTAGTAAAATACCATTGAGGGCGCCTCGAAGCCCTACAGTGGGTTCAATTAGTGACTGCCGCACATCGTAGCGTTGTGTTATTTTTCGTTTTTTTTACCGTGAAGCGAGGGTAGTGCGTGATAAAACCGACAACGGTCGGCGCCGGAGCCAGGCAGGTCGATTTTGTCAATGTGCGTTTGTTTGTGCGTTTACGTGAGTCTCGGCACCTGGTGTCGGAGTCGTGCGTCAAGCATTTGTGATTACAAGACACTCGGGTGGGTGCACTCACACGTGAGAATGCCCAGGCGATACCGTGCCATGAAATGGTGCCGTAATGCCCGATTCACATTTTGCAGTTTTACTTTTAATTTCGCAGTTGCGACATGGCTTGTGCGGCAAAATATACTGTAAAACCCTTTATTTTCGCGGCCCCTATTTTTCGCAAATCGGTCACAGATGACATAATCGCGACCACTAAATTTCGCGAATTCCAGACGCCTGCATTGAAAATCTTAAGGACCGAAATTTTTGCGTGCCCTTAAATTTCGCGAATTCTTCCAATTCGGGAAATTCGCGAAAATTGAGGGCTCGCGAACATTAAGGGTTTTATAGTATGTGGTGAAAGCTGTGGTGCTTGACGCCGCAGCTTCAAAATCAAAAGTAAAATCAAATTTTGTGAATTGGGCTTTTCAAGGAGACTGCAGACGTTTTTTTCTGCTGTTTGCTAACATTTTTTCCCGGGGGACCATGTAATTTACGTTTGTTCCTATGAAGCTTAATGAACACAAGTTTCGGTTATCAGTGTGATTCTCTTTGAATGTTTTTTAAGCTTCGAGAATTGAGCATCTTATGTCAACTTTAGGAGGGTAGCACCTGCTTGCGAGGAGAATGTGGATGCCGCGTTGGAGCCAGTCTGCAAGCTCCAAGCGATGTTTGTTGAGTCACGGCAGAAGAAACGCGTGCAGGCGTACATCACCGATTACTTCCGTTTGTAATGTGCCCTGTACTACTTGTAAATAAATGTTCCGGAACTCATCATTCATGTGTTGGTTCAGTGCACATGCCCCACCTAATGCAGTGCTGCACATAAGTCCTCCATTCAATAAGCTTCCTTTAATTCAAGCTCCGTTTAATTCGAGCAAATTTTCACGCCCCTTCAAGTTCGAATTATCGAGATTCAACAAACATACTGCCACATTCATAACATTTCCCCTTTAAACTGAATGGGAGAAATACCTTTTAGCCGTTGTTCAGTTTCTGCCTAAAGCCCCAGTCCCGAACGCTTTGTTTTCAACCGCTTGCCCAGCTTGATGGAACCCCGCTCTTCGCCGAGGAGCAGAGTTGGAGACCCCTATGGCATGGCAGCCATGCCCGGCAGCTCGGTGGGCAGCGACCGTTTTGTCCGAGGTATCAGGGGTGCCATGATGCCCACTCATCACGCCCACTGGATGGACCCTAGGGCAAAGGCCATGGACTCGAGGTGAGTCGCTCAACTTTTATGGTTTTCTCAGAACCTTCATTTTTTTTATGATTCTAAGTGTTTCCATCTAAAAGAATGGTGATTTAAGAGCCGTGCCCTTCATTAAACCTATTCGTTGACTTGGTATTAGTGCCATTTGCAAACATGCTGCTTTTCTTTTTTCTTTTACATAGATTCATCTCGACAAGCATCGCTCTTCGTGTTCGTCGGGATGGTTCAGTGCTGGACAGACATCCTCGCGCCTTCACGAGATAGGGGGCCCTCTTGGACGAACCGGAACATTGTACAAAGAAGTTACCCAGAGTTTGCCCATTGTCATATTTAAAATCAAAACCATCGACAACAAAGTGTGCAGAAATAAAATACGACAAAAGAAAGCTGGGCTGCTGTAGCGCCAATAATCGCGATGATGAGGATGTTTTCAACTTTCGTGAGCTCCAATTTTTATGAGCTTCAGAGTCATAAATTTCCACAGCGCATGAGAAATTCTCGACAAGTAGTAAGTGTGGAGGTTTCTTGAAGCTCCCAAATGTATAGTGATCGCAAATATCTTCACCAGGAGTCATTTGCCAAAGCGCAAATTACTCCTAGTGGAGAGTGCAAACATAATGTTTCTGAAAGGATGAGTGGATTGGGCAGTGCCTCTATGATATGAGCGGTTATCTGTTTCTCAGATTGCAAACTGCCTTGCTAACTGTTCCTTAAAATTATCACCATGCACACAACAAAATAAAATAGTGCCAATTGCAAATGTAAGCATGATGCCAAAGATTATTTTGCCGTAATTGCCTAATATTTTGGAGCACGGCTGCGTTCCTATCCTCCAATTCGTGCTCGTGCATGTGAGCAACCTGCGTCGCTTGGGCAAACGTTTATGTGCATGTTTGCTGTGTCAACTTGGCCAGCTTCAGAAGTGAGTGCAGGCGAGCGCACCTCGCATAGAGCTATGTTGCCTTTGTTGCACTGAGTGGGCCAGTGCGTGTCGCGCTGCCTCACTCAGTACATGACTTCTGCGGTAAAATGGTGTTTAGGCATTAGCCGAGGCTACGCACTCGAGCCGAGTCCCACCGGACTGCGCACACATAAAAAAAAACATTGGGCAGAAGAAAAAAAGTATATTGAGCGGTTGTGCTGCGACACGTCAAAGCGAAGTCTGGCATCCGCGTTGTGTTCACGCACCGTGGGGTGCAAGAAGAAAAGCGGTCTGAACAAAATAAACATCTGTAATTAAAGAAAGGGTACAGCTGGGCTGGTTCAATACTGACATGGTAACCCTCTAGCTGGGGAAAAGAAGGGACGTAGGACAGACGGACAACTCCAAATGAATTGGACATCTGACCATTTTGTTCCAAACGCTTCTGTTTATTTTTAAGGCCAAGGCCTTATTTGTCCCATTACGCGAAAAGCTGTCGGCGTTGTCCCCGAAAGATGGCCATAAAAATACGGCATCAAGCACGCGCCTCAGAAATAAAACGTAAAGGATAGCACAGCCACGCAGATGCTTAGTCACTAGCTTGCGGGGTGCTCAGCGCTGTCGCAACTTGCGGCCGAGATGTTTATAGCCTTTGACGCCTGGTCCTTACGTTTAGACCCTCAGCCACTATCTAATACGCTTCTGATGAGCCCAAAACGGTGAATATTTGACTCACATCTCCGAGAGATTCGGCAGTAAAAAGTAGTAAGTAGAGGCAGCGAATGCCGATTGCGGAAAAACTATACTCCTTTTTACCTCCAGGACTTCTGTTGCAACTCAAGAACAGGAGGAGACGGACCACTTCTCCGTGGAGGAACTTTAAATGATAAATAATTCATACACTCTTGTGAAATGTAAGCAGGCCCCTGCATCATCATTTCATAAAACGCACATGAAGTCGGTCAGCTGCTCTAGACGAGGGTGTAGTAGTCTACAATTTTCACACAGTGCATATTACAGCCTATAGTGCTTCCTCCAGGGCTTGTGCACATATCCAGCTGATTTTTTGTTTTTGACCATGACCATCTTTGCATGGTTAATCATAAGTATTCCGAGGAACCGCTGCCAAAACAACACCCTACCATGCTCGAACACCAGCGTAAAGCAGCTCGAAGGGACTCTCAGAGTGGGGTGAGGTGGTTGCGCCCCTGGCGGCAAGCAAGTGAACTACATACGGAAAAACACGGCCGGTCTCGACGCGCGCGCGCGCGCGTCGAGACCAGCCGTGGGAGAAAAAATGCCATTGACTTTGCAAAGGCCGTAAGAAGAGAAGGAGAGCGCGCGCTTCCAGTCCGACCGTGATATTGCATCCAGTGTTTGACTGTTTGTCTATCTTGATAACGATGTCCCACCTTTCATATTATAAAAAGAAAAAAAAACTCCTTTTTGGAAAGATTGTTATGGTTAAATGGTGTATTTTTGTGATCGTGGCGTTAATTGGGGGCCTACATTTCCGCTATTTGTAATAATAATATTAAAATTAAGATATTTTAATACGTGATTTTTCAAGCTCTAATATAATTTGTTGCTTATGACTAATTTCAAACGTGCGAACAAGTATGACAATCAAAAGTGTGCTAATTATTATCACTGGTGCCAATTTTTATTACCAAGTTATAAAATAAATATAGTCTAAAGTCAATGAAAGCATTCTAACTAATGTGAGAAATCCATGTAAAATTACATTAATTTTGGGTAAAGCATATGGCGCTATCAAAGTAGCGACTTTTGACAATCGGCAAAACATCCTTGGTTTCCGCCAAAATCCTTTCAGACCAAAATTAGTTACTTTCATTTTTACGCGCCGTCGTTTTGCCAGTATCATCCTTACCAGTTTGAAGAAAGCTGAACGCCTACCTGCCTTCGCGCCTGCTCGCTGCAGCCTGTCTACTTCATGTCTGTGTCTGTCCCTTGAGCTTTGTAATTTCAATATGTTAAAGGGATACTGAACCGAAATTTGGATTTCGCAAAGTAAGGCTGCAGAAGTGTTGAACCGGACGCTACGAACTCCAAAACATCACTCGTACATCGATATCTCAAACGGATGGCCGTACTTTTGGAAAAGAAGGGCGCGATCAAGCGAGTTCTTTGACGTAACTATCCTCCGGGAGAATTTGAGGATGAGGAGAAGCGGCCTCGCTTCTCTCCTCGCTTCGGTTCACCAGCTTGACGGGACGTAGCGCGGAGGAGAGAGAATGGGAATCGTGACGTGCCTTGTCTCGTCGGCCTCGTCGGCCGGGTTCAATCGCACACTTCTTTTCCAAAAAAATACGGCGATCCGTTAGATATACGCCGATGAGTGATATTTTTTGGTTTTGCAGCTTCCCGCCTATCCGCCCGGCCTTGTTTAGTGAGCTCGAAATTTCGGTTCAGTATCCCTTTAAGCCAATTATAGTCGGTTACAAGTTAAGAAGGTAGGAGAAGCTCCTCCCACAAGCGTGATGCGCCGGTTTCAAATCCCTCCGCAGTCGAAAGAAGAGTTCACTGGAAACGCTCCTTGTCCCGCTTCAATGGATAGATATTGGCCACAAAGTCAGGGCCGTACCCAGAAAAAAATTTCGGGGGGGGGGGGGGGGGGGGGGGGGGGGGGGGGTTTCGGGGACAACGGCGGCCATTTTGAAAATGTCTGTTGTCTTATTTTCGCCTATGAATCATGTGCATCGGTGGCATATAAGGGAGAGTTATAGCAAACCGGAGAACCGGTCCCGGTTTGGTACCCGGTAGCCGACCGGCGCCACTGCGCGTGCGCAGAGGTGGAGATTAAAATCGGCTGCCTGCAAGTGCACCGACCATGTACCACGCACTGTACCGGGGCTGGTCCTCCGCTTTGCTAAAAGGGTAATAAAAGGATACTTTCAAATCGCTTGTAACCTAAAGAAAAAAAAAAACTCAGGAATTTAATTCCTGGTAATGGAAAGGAATAAAAGTTGGCGTGTAACTTTTGCCGATTCACCTGAACGACCCTGCGTTTTATGAGAAGTCGCTAGTTGCCTTCGCCATGCCGCTACCACCGTGCCTAGAGGACCTCCGACCTACCACCGACTGCCAGCGAAATAATTTTTCACATTCAGAGCAATCGCTCTCGTGAAGTTTTAAACCCCAGTTGCAATTCGTATCCATTCTATTCGTACTTAGGTTGAGGGCACAAACACGAAATCTGCGCATATCTTGAGTGCTTTGCGGGGTTCGGTACATCCCTTACGAGATCCGGACCCCTGCCTACCGGTGGCTCCTGACACGGCAGCACTGGAAGTGTCGTTCCGATACAAGTAAGGTGAGAATAATCGGAAGCAAACAGAACCAAGCAGCACGATGATCAGCTCTTTATATTGCCGTTGACACATTCTGCTTGCACAGATACACTTTAAACACGCAAGGTTCCCGACGATTCTTTTCGTATTGTGAGCTGTTTAAACAACGAAGTTCTTCCTCCGCGGCAACTTGCAAAAGTCCGTGAGGACCTCTTCTGGGTCCACTTGAATTTCTCGGTCCGGTCAATCTGTCTTGCTTCATGTGGTTCCGTAGGTAGCTTTTAAGTCTTCTCAATGTTGAGAAAGTCCGTTCTGGGGTTGAGGTGGATACGGGAAGCGTCGCCAGGATGCAGAGCAAGCTGTGAATATTCGGGAAGAAGCTAGCGCTTGCAAAGCGCAAGCTAGCCGATCCTTCTCTTCGATTTGGCAGCACTTGCTCATCCACAGCGTCAACTCTGCGTTGATGATGTCGGCTGAGGGAATCTCACCCAGATAGCTGAAAGACTAGCTGAAGCGCAGCAGGGCCGTACCCAGAAAAAAAATTCGGGGGGGTCATAACCCCCTAACCTCCCTCCCCCCCCCCCCCCCCCCCCCCCCCCTGGTTGCGGCCCTGCACAGAGTGATGCCAACTTATCTCCGATCCTACTTTTTAAGAAAGCAGCCTTTGTATTCATCGGAGGGGGAACCGAGCCCCTGAAAGCAGCCTTTGTATTCATCGGAGGGGGAACCCAATCCCCGAAAGTCGTATTTGTTTTTATCGGAGGGGGAAAACTATAATCTCCCTCTCGTAGCTTCCACAATGCTAAGTCAAAGTCGAAAGATAAAGCAAATACATACAGAAAGGCAAAACCCTCTCCCAAAACCGGCCAAAACCTCCTCGCGCTTTGGCCGCGACGTCACGGAAACGATGGGTCGCTTTTGGATGCGGAGGTGGCGGAGGGATATATGATTCCGTTTGAGGGGCATTTGCGGCTACCTTCTTGACTTGTAACCTACTATAGCCCACCTCAATATTTTAGTGTTCACTGCAGCACCGTTTCGTTGGCGTTGGAAGCTGGTGAAGCAGTAGAGCGTTTTAGTATTGCATATATACGAGCGAACGCAAGCGCTGTGTGTTTGCGTTAATTTTGCGTGTTCCACACTGCGCGTGCAC